ACGGCTTGGTCTCCCAATCCAGCAGCTGCAAGTGGCGGGGAAGTGTGTTTGTGGCACAGCGTATGATGACCCAGCAGACCCGCATCATGCGCTGAGATGCAAGCACCAACACGGTCCATCTCGGGTGCATGATGAGGTGAAGTTTGCGGTGGCAAAGATCGCTAAGGCGTCAGGGGGGGTGGTGACGATGGAGGATAGTGCGGTGCTGCCGGGGAAGCGGGTTGACGTAGCGGTGCGACGACCAATGGCTGGGGAGGCTCATGCTTTAGAGATTAGTGTCGCGGACCCGCTATCACTGTCTCCATCTCTGCTAGGGCAGTGCGGGCGGTCTATAGGCGTGGCGGCAAAGGAGTGGGAGCGTCGCAAAACGGGGGATTACGCGCCTCTTCTTGCACGGAACCGAGGCGTGCAGTTCACCCCTTTGATAGTGGAGACGTGGGGGTGTCTCGGCGGTCGCTTCCGGCGGTGGCTTCGACAGCAGGGGGACGCGCACGTGGGGCTAGCTGTGTCACGGGGGGCTTGTCGGGAGGATGACACTTCGTTCTCGGCTTACCTTTTGGGGTCTCTGAAGGCGCTCATCGGAGTGGCGTTACAACGGGCGCAAGCTCGTGTCATCCTGCTTCGGGCGGCGTCTTCCATGGGGGGGTTGAATGTGGACTTGGTGGATCGGGAGAGGGACGATGTCGAGGTGGAGGGCGGGCCTCTTTGGGTGGAGGCCCCCTACATGGTGGATGTGCAGATGTGACTTGGGGGGGAGGGGGGGGGGGGGGGGGGGGGGGGGGAATGGGGTGCGAGATGGGACGTCTGGTAGGGGATCCTGGTTGGGTTTTTTCTTTATGGAGTATTTTTATGGGGCTTTTTATGGGTGTTGCGTTTGAGTTGTTTCTGGTGTCTTTCTTTCCCTTTTCCTTCTCCCTCTTTCCCTTTTCCTCTTTCAAAAGCGTGAAGCCAGTTTCTGGGACTTAATATGAAAATGCTTTTGTAAACCCGTCTAATGATGGACTACACTACTCCATACTTGTCCATACTGATCCGTCAACCCAGATGGGGTCTACACACACACTGAATTTTCTCAACATACGGTAGCTGAAAATTTCAGTGCTGGGGACGCTCGTGGCTTTCATATGCAATGCAAGCGTTGGTTGGTTGGCAGCATGTAAACCATGGTTCCAGTAGTAGAGACACCAAGGGCATGTCTCGGGTGGTTCGAATTGAAATGCAAAACCTTAGCAATCCAGCAGGAAGCGATACAGCAGCCACCCAATAACTGCAACCTTTGTGAGTGAGACAGAACAAGTCAGGATGTTCAACCCCAAAACGCCAAACCTTAGCATGGTACCATTAAAATTAAGCACACTGGGAACATGGATACGCAGCATAACACAGACCGAAGGCCGTGTGCTTGAGTCCCTACTTAAACCCGGCTCATTCCGACTTTGTTAGTCAGCGCCGTGCTGCAGCAGTGGCATGAGCTCAGGAGATGGGCCGGAACTTCCCTGGGATTCTTTCTGACCCATCCAGGCGTGCAAACAATGCAGCAGCAGACCCATCCCAAGTCGCACCGTCGCCTACTTATGAAGCGCCTCCAGAATAGAATCAACGCCGAGCAGTGGCATCGGCTCAGGAACTAGGACTTCCCTGGGTTCTGTATCCGTCCCATCCAGGCGAGCAAGTAATGCAGCAGCAGACCCGTCACCCAGTCGCACCGTCAGATCACGCCCTTGGTCGGGTGTGCTGTGTGAAGACTGACACAAAACTCTAGCGCCGAGCAGCGGCATCGGCCCAGGAGCTGGGACTTCCCTGGGTGTCTGCCCCATCCAGGCGAGCAAACAGCGCAGCAGCAGACCCATCCCCCAGTCGCACCGTCACTCCCTTGTTCTTCCGCCCTTTCCCCTTGCCCCGCCCTGCTCCCCCCACTCCTCCCACACCGCCCCCCTCGCCTGCTCCCCCGCCTGCTTCCCCCGCGCTTGTCGCAATGCTGGTGGTGCTGCTGATGCGCCTAGGGGGGTTGGCAGGTGGAGGGTCAGAGGTGGTAGACGAAGCGAGAGGTGATGCTGAAGCAGGAGCAGCGGAGGGGAGAGAGCCGCAGACAGAGCAGCGGACAGAAGCAGCAGAGTTGAGAAGCGTGCACACACTACACGACCATTCCCCACCGCCTCCCACCCGTCCCGCTCCCCCCCTCCCCCCTCCTGCTCCTGCTCCTGCCGCTGCCCCTGACTGCTTTTGAAAGCGAGACGGACCCTGAGTGGAGAGAGCAGGAAAAGCAGCGGAGTGAGCAGAAGCAGCGGGAGGGGCAGCCATAGCTGCAAGCTCAGGAGCAGACATGGATGCATGCAGGGGGTGAGAGTGAGAGAGCGATGCTGCTCGAGATCTGTATTCCTTCTTCCCTCCGTCACCCACCCCTTGCTCCTTCACCTGCTCTGTCTCCTTCTCCCGCACCTTCTCCTTCCCGGCCCCCTTTCCCCCCTTCCGCCCAGCATCCGTTTTTTGAGCCGCTTTCTCTGCCGCCTTCTCCCGCACCTTTTGCGACGAAGCAATCTGCGCCGATGCTTGAGGGGCATCAGGACCACTCGAGGCATTTGAAGCACTTGGCATGGCGTTTGGCGTATTGGAAGCGTTCGCAGCCCCCCCAGTTGCTGCCTGCCTTGCAGCATGCACCTTCTGCAGCTCCTCTCGTTTGGCCACATCCGGACAAAGCGCCGCCAGCCGCGGCACCAGATGGGACAAACCAAGCCGGCACACATGCGCATAGTACACCACAGTCAGCATCTCTCCCGCCCTCCATTTTGCGGACTTATCCTTGAAATCTTCAAACCCAGTGCCGCCGCCCAGCACGGATTTGATATCCTCTATAAGCGCCTTGTTTGCTGCACGAAGCGATTCTTTTTCTTCACTGCTAATGTCCCCGACTCGTTGCTTCAGCCGGCTTTCCTTGCTGCTCTGCTGCTGTTGCTGCTGCTGCTGCTGCTGTGGCTGCTGCTGGGAGGGAGTTTTCTCGTCCTGCTGCTGTTTTTTGTCCTCGTATTCCTCTTCCCAGCTATCCCTCACGACTCTTTCCTCCCCTAGCTTCGGAAACGCGTCTGCCTGTAACACAGCACCTCCCCCCCCAGCCCCTCTGCTCGTCTTCCCTCTGCCGAACCCCCCCCCTCCCTCTCCTCCCCCCCCTCCTCCTCCTCCTCCCCCTCCACTACCACTGCTACCACTGCTACCACCTATCCCCCTGCCGGCCCCCTCACCCCATCCCCCTCTGCCTCTTCCCCCCGCACCTCCCCCCCAAGCACCGGCCATTCTGGCCCCCCACCCCCTGCCTGCCCCCCGCCTCCCCCACCCAAGGGCTGGGGGGCAGCAAGAGAACCTGCAGAACTCAGAACCGCATTCAACCCCCCAAGACCGCCTTTGACTTTCCCTCCCTTCCCACCTTTACCGCTGCCACTGCTGCTGCTGCTGTTCCCTCGTGCTGGTCCCCAAGAATCGGATGGAGCAGAAGGAGCAGCAGGGGAGGCCGAGGCAGAAGGTAAGGGAGGGAAGAGAACGTCCTGTGTAATGCTCCCACCGCCTGCACCTAGCGGCCCTCCTGCTACGACAGCTGCTGCTGTGTTGCGCTGGGTCTTCTCCCGATACACTGCCACAGCCATTCCTTCAGTTAACGGGCCGTTGCTGCTCATTCCGCTCCTGCCGCCCATTGCCATGCTGCTGCTGCTGCTGCTGCTGCTGCTGCTGCTGCTGCTGCTGGTGGTGGTGGTGGTGGTGGTAGCAGCAGCAGCAGGGGCAGGAGCAGAGGAGGCAGAGAGAGAGGGGAAGGCCTCTGGGGCCAGGAGAGAGGGGAAGTGAGATGGTGCCGACGCAGGAAGGGAGGACGAAGAGGAGGGTAGTGGTGGGGAGAGGGAGGAGGCGGAGGAGGAAGAAGAGGAGGAAATTGCTCCAGCTGCCGCAGCAGCAGTAGCAGCACCGGCACCCCCTCCCCTTCTTCGTGAGTGCTGCTTTTGCTGCGAAGAAGACCCTCCCCCCTCCCGACCGCCACCAGCGGCAGAAGCAGAAGCAGCAGCCTCTCCTGCTCCTGCTGTAGCAGCTGATTCTCTTAAAGCCCGTTCCAGTTGAGCCGACTCGATACTTGCTGCCAGCACTGCTGCTTCACTCACACCCGCCCCCAAACCCCCCATCCCGGCCCCAAACCCCCCTCCGCGCCCCCCTCCCCGTCCCCCTCCCCCGCCCTCGTGCCCCTGTCGCCCCCCCCTGCCTCGCCCCCTCCCACCCTCCGCGCGTAGTGAGGGGAAGTTGAAAAACTGGGAAGGGGGAATCTGTTTCAGCAGAGAAGAAAGGAGGGCGGACGGGAGTGGGGGGATGGGGGCGAGAAGGAGTAGGGAAAAAACGGGGGCCGGAAAAAAGGGGTGGAATTGTGGAGGGAACATGGGAGAGGGTTAGGATGTGGGGAGGGGAGGCAGGAGGGAGACGAAAGAAGAGCGCCAGGCTGAATGGCAGCACCTAATCCAACGCGCAGGAATGGCAGCACCTAATCCAACTCGCAGGAATGGCAGCACCTAATCCAACGCGCAGGAATGGCAGCACCTAATCCAACGCGCAGGAATGGCAGCACCTAATCCAACGCGCAGGAATGGCAGCACCTAATCCAACTCGCAGGAATGGCAGCACCTAATCCAACGCGCAGGAATGGCAGCACCTAATCCAACGCGCAGGAATGGCAGCAGCATATAACACGCCCCCAATCCGTCGCCGACCATTCCCATTCCGTCCCAATCCTTCCTCCCTCACATTCCCAATCCTCCCCCATCTCGTCCCCGCGCTGTCCCCAACCCATCCCCCACCAGGACCCCAATCCGACCGCAATAGGTCCCCACCTCGTCCCCAATCCACACACCTGACTCTTGAGTCGACTCAAAAGTCACCTCGTCCCCGCTCTGTCCCCACCCCAACCCGTCCGTCCCCCACCAGGACCCCAATCCGACCGCAATAGGTCCCCACCTCGTCCCCAATCCACACACCTGCAGAGCGCGGTTGCGCTCGGCGCGCTTCATATTCCCCGCATGCTGCTGCGCTATGTGGTGCTGTGAGGAGGAAAGAGGGCAGGGGTTCAGGGAGGGGAATTGGGCCCGGAAGGAGGGGGAGAAAGGGGAATGAGATGGGAAGGTGTTAGAATCGCGATTCGGCATGGAACAGCACAGCAGCATACTTGTGCCGCGCATAGCTCCCCTGCGCACACACTAAGGAGGGGGTTCCATACCTCGTATGATGAGGCTATTGTTGAGTTGACTCAACAATAGACCCTGTTCTGCATACACATGAAGGATAGGGTTTGCTACCTCATGAGTGCTCCCTCACACGCCTTGTGTCCCCATCGTAAGTGCCAGCACACACACACAGACACAGACACACACACACACACACACACACACGCGCGCGCGCGCGCGCACGCACGCACGCACGCACGCACGCACGCACGCACACACACACACACACACGCGTCTTGAGCTCTACCCCCTCACCTTGAGCTCGATTTCTGATGCAAACACCACGAATTTCTTCTCCAGGCACTCCCTGTCCTCGCACACGTGGTGGTCTGCGCGGAAGTGGTTCTGCGGAGGGGAAGAGGGCGGAGACGGGGGGAAAGGGAGGCGGGGGGCCGGAGGGCGGATGGGCAGGGAGGTGGTTGTGCAATGAGAGCAAGCGTTGCTTCTCCTGGCACTCCCTGTCCTCGCACACGTGGTGGTCTGCACGGAAGTGGTTCTGCGCAGGGATTGAGGGGAAAGATGAGGGGGGGACGGGGAGAGGGGGAAGTGGGGAAGGGGAGATGAGAAACGAGAGAGAGCTGAGCGAAGGCGGGGAGGGCAGATGAGCGGGGACGAAAAGATTAACAGAGCGACAAGCAGCAAAAGTAACCAAGTGGCTATGTTCGCTGCATCAAATTTCTGAATTTAGTCACGTAAAAAGACGACTGGAAGTAGGGGCGAACGGAAGAGGGCGGGGGCAAAGGGGGCGCCAGAGGCGGGGGATGGCAGGGGGAGGGGGGGTGGCGGGGCTGGGGAGAGACGGAGTGAGGAGGGTGGGTGGGAGGGGGACGTAAGCTGGGGGAGGGGAGGGGAGGGGAGGGGAGGGGAGGGGAGGGGTCTGATGTAGCAACAGCGTAGACAGTACGTTAGAAGGAGAGCACGGGGCGAGTACTGACCTCAAGGTGATCGTAGGAGCGGAAATACTCATACTTGCCGGGGTTGTTGCTGCAAAGGGAGGAAACGAAGGTGGGGGTGAGGAGGGGAGGGGGAGGGGGGAGGACTTTTGAGGCGCCTCAGAACTCGAGATGATCGTAGGGGGGGAAATACTCGTCCTTGCCGGGATTGTTGCTGCAAAGGGACGAAACGAACGCGGGTTTGGGGTTTGGGGTTTGGGCAGCGATGAGGTGAGGGCGGTGGTAGATGATTCGGGATTGGGAACGGGGTGGGGAGAGGGGCCGGAGGGGGGGCGGCGAGGGGGCGGAAGCATACAAGAGATTTGTGCAGGGGCAGATGTAAAACACACACAATCACGCAGACACACACGCACACGCATGGTCACGTGCACATGCCCAAATACACATGCACACGTGCGTGCACATGAATATTTTCCCCTCCCATCCCCTCCCACCCCTCTGCACCCCACTCCCCACTTTCCCCCGGGCTCCATCCCCCACTCCCTCCGCTGGCAGATGTGGCACGTGTAGTGCTCCGTGGACATGTGGTGACTTTTGAGTCGACTCAAAAGTCACTCCGTGGACATGTGGTGGAACAGCGCGTTGTCTCCCTCCCATCCACACACCCGCAGCTGTGTGCGCACGACTGGATCGACTCGTTACCCTCTCAACCCCTCCCACCCCTTCAACCCCCTCCCATCCCCTCCCACCCCCGCGCACCGCTGGCAGATATGACACGTGTAGTGCTCCGTGGACATGTGGTGGAACAGCGCGTTGTCTCCGTAGAAGCGCCGCACGGGTGCCCCTTGAACCCGTTTCTCATCCGCACCCCTTCCAACCGCACCTTTTTCCCCTCCCACCCCTTCCCATCCCCTCCCACCCATCCCCTCGCCCCACGCACCGCTGGCAGATGTGGCATGTATAATGCTCCGTGGACATGTGGTGGAACAGCTCGTTGTCTCCGTAGAACCGCCGCGCGCAGAAGTCGCAGCGCGGGTGCCCCTTGAACCCGCCGCGCGCCTCCTCGCTGCTGCCGTCCACCTCGGGATCGCCGCCCGCCTCGTGCCGCTCCACCTGCTGCCGCGTGTACAGGCGCTGCTCCGATAGGAAGACCTGCGGGAGAGGCGGGGGAGGGGGGGGGGGGGGGGAGGGAGGGGGAAGGGAAGGGGGGGAAGGGAGGTGGAAGGGAAGGGGAACGGAGGGCTTTTTAGGGGTCTCAGAACTCGTGCCGCTCCACCTGCTGCCGCGTGTACAGGCGCTGCTCCGATAGGAAGACCTGCGCGAGGGGAAGGGAGGGGGGGGGGGGGGAAGGGGAAGGGAGGGGGGGGAAGGGAGGGGGAAGGGAGGGGGAAGGGAGGGGGAGGGGAGGGGGAGGGGAGGGGGAGGGGAGGGGGAGGGGAGGAGGAGGGGAGGGGGAGGGGAGGGGGAGGGGAGGGGAGGGCGAAGAGAGGGGAGGGGAGGGGGAAGGGAGTTGGACGAGAGGGCTTTTGAGGCTCCTCCTGCTGCCGCGTGTACAGGCGCTGCTCGGATAGGAACACCTGGGGGAGGGGGAAGAGAGGGGGAAGCGAGGGGGAAGGGAGCGGGAGAGAAGACGGAAGGAGAGAAGTGGACAAGGAGGAGGAGGGAGAGAGGGAGTGGAGAGATTGACGAGGTAGGGAGAGTGGCAGTTAAGGGTAAAGATGGCGGAGTGGGTTAAAGTAATGGCGGAAAAGAAAGGGAAGATCGGGGAGGGGGCGAAAAGGGGGAGGGCTGGAGGCTGGGTGAGGGGACAAAAAATGGGGGGGGGGGGGGGGGGGGGGGGGGGGGTTAGGTAGGATCAGGGAATCCAAAGCGCAGATCACACGTATCGCCTCTCCTCACAGGACTCTTCTCCCCTGATCCCCTTACGCTCAATCCCTCACTTCAACTCCCACCGAGCAGCTCAAATCCTCCCAAACCCCTCATTCCAATTCAGCCCTCGTCCCATCACCAACCCTTTCGTCCCCCGTTCCCAACTCTTCCCCTTTCCTCCCCCTTCCTACTTCCCCCTCCTTCCCTGCCCTTCCGCACCTTGCGCCCTTCCAGGCAAAGCTCGCACATCCTGACGCCGTGCGCGCGCCCAAGATGGTCCTTAAGCGCGTTCAAGCTGCGGAACGCCAGCCCCGGCGGCGCCGCCCCGTCCCGGCGAACGGCGGATTCGCTCCGCCAGCGGCGGCAGCGGAGGCGGAAGGCGGCGGGGATTTGGCGCAGATGGAGCAGGTGAGGCGCGTCATAGCGCGCATCGCTTTGAAGTGCGACTCGTCGTCGAAGTAAGCGCCCATTGCGCTGTCGTACCAGTATTCACCTGCCCCGGGTCGCCCGGGCGTGGCGACGAGAGACGGCAGCGCTGCGAAATCGAAAGACGTTCGCGTGTAGTCGCCCAGGGCCTGCGACGAAACGAGTCAAGCGAAAACGGTCACGGGGAAAGAGGGAGAGGGAGAGAGAGTGGGAATGATAGGAAGGGCTGGAGTGCATATGAGTGAATTCAACGAAGCATATCCTAGTGCTCCTCGTCCAGTTGAACTGCGTTCGACGTCGAAGATAGATGAAAAGGTTGGTCGGGACAAGCTAGTGGAGAAAAGAAAAGAAAAGAAAAAAACATCAAAAGAACATCAAGGCCAGGGAAAGTTGTTGGAAGGGGCAGAGCGGCGTGGAATGGCGATCGGATCGAATCCGGTCGGAGCGATTCGGATCGGATCGGATTGGATCGGATCGAATTGGATCAGTCCGACCTTGGTGACGACGACGGCGAGCGAGGACTGCTTGCAGATGCAGCAGCGCTGGTCGTTCATAACGACTCGCAGGCGCGCGACGCACATGGAGCACACGTCGCGATGCCCGCACGGCCCTATCGCCACCCACTCCAACGGCTCCGCGCACACCGCGCAACAGTCCTCCATGATCGCGGCTCGGCGAACGCGTTGCACGGATCGGAAGCGGACAAACGAGCGAGAGAGACGCGTGAGGCGGTCTGACAGGTCGATACGAGGCGGCTAGGTCGAGGACAGAGAATGAGATGCGAGGACGAAGAAAAGAAACGAAGCGAGGACCAGATAGGGATGTGAGGAAGAGATAAGATAGCAAGGTGTATCAGTAGCTCGGATGCTTGTGTGGATGTTTGGAGGATGCGTGGATGTGACAGCAAGCGGAGAGGTTTTGGCGAGGTTGTGGAGCGGAGCGGAGGGGAGACGAGGGGAGGAGGAATCGAGGTGGGAGAATGATCTCGAGGTGACCTTGGAAATTCCGATCAGATGCATCATCGTAGAACAGTGTGCACAACGCGATACATTATCTGGGTTCAGCTTGAACATACGTTAACGTCGGACGGGTTGCGTAGATGCTACATTCCTAATCGTAGATGTTACATTCCTAATTGACAAAAAAAAAAGCAAGTGCAATTTTTTTTCTTTATTTAGCGCCAAATTTAGGTCTACCGTATAAAGAAATAAGGCAAGTGCTTCTTGATGGTGCAATGTATTCGTTTCAACGTGGATGTTCATGATTTTAAAACATTGAGACACATTGATTGTTTTTTATATGTAGTGAACAAAGATGATACTTTGTATTGTACCATTGTACTATGTTTAGTGAGTTGTTTCAAGCCCAATCAGTGTCACGTGATTGTGCGTGTGTTTTCACGTGACAATCCCACCCACCTGTTGCCTCTCCCTCCCACCCACCTCGTCATAGCATCTACCTCCCCACCCCACCATCTTCTCTCCCTCTCACCCGCCGTCGCCTCTCCTTCCTACCCGCCGTCGCCGCTCCCTCCCACCCCGCCGTCGCCTCTCCCTCCTACCCCGCCGTTGCCTCTCCCTCCCATTCCGCCGTCTCCTCTCCCTCCCATTCCGCCGTCGCCTCTCCCTCACATTCCGCCATCGCCTCTCCCTCCGCCGTCGCCTCTCCCTCCGCCGTCGCCTCCCCCTCCGCCGTCGCCTCCCCCTCCGCCGTCGCCTCTCCCTCCGCCGTCACCTCTCCCTCCGCCGTCGCCTCTCCCTCCGCCGTCGCCTCTCCCTTCGCCGTCGCTTCGCCCTCCCCATCGTCGCCTCCCTCCCTCCCCATCGTCGCCTCCCTCCCTCCCCATCGTCGCCTCCCTCCCTCCCCGTCGTCGCCTTCCCTTCCCTTCCCGCCGTCGCCTCTGGCGACAGGCGCACGAGTGGAGCGCGGGTTGGTGCGCGACCGCCCTTGGTGCGCGACCGCGGGTTGGTGCGCGACCGCGGGTTTGTGCGCGTCCGCGGCTTGGTGCGCCACCGCGGGTTGGTTTCTCAGGTTCGTTTACCTTTCCCGGTCCCTTTTTTCTCCCCTACGCCTCTGAGTTTCCATGCTTTTTTCTGCCTTTTTCTTTGATTGTGTGTCGACTGATCTTTTGTTCCGTTGCACTTTCATTTGAAGAAGAGGAGAGTGTGCACGGGAGCGAGCGCGCCGGGAGTGCGTGTGAGAGTGCACGTGAGAGTGCGCGTGAGAGAGCGAGTAAGAGTGCGCATGGGAGTGCGCGTGAGAGAGCACATGAGGGAGCGTGTGAGAGAGCGCGTGAGAGACTGAATGAGAGTGCGCGTTAGGGAGCGCGTGAGGGTGCGCGTGAGAGAGCGCGTGAGAGTGCGCGTGAGAGAGCGCGTGAGAGTGCGTGTGTGAGAGCGAGTGAGTGTGCGCGTGGGAGTGCGCGTGAGGGTGCGCGTGAGAGTGCGCGTGAGAGTGCGCGTGAGAGAGCGCGTGAGAGAGCGCGTGAGAGTGTGCATAGGAGTGCGCGTGAGAGAGCGCGTGAGAGTGCGCGTGAGAGTGCGCGTGAGAGTGCGCGTGAGAGTGCGCGTGAGAGTGCGCGTGAGAGTGCGCGTGAGAGTGCGCGTGAGAGTGCGCGTGAGAGAGCGTGTAGAGTGCGTGTGAGAGTGCGAGTGAGAGAGCGAGTGAGAGTGCGCGTGAGGGTGTGCGTTAGAGTGCGCGTGAGAGAGCGCGTGAGAGTGCGCGTGAGAGTGCGCGTGAGAGTGCGCGTGAGAGAGCGCGTGAGAGAGCGCGTGAGAGAGCGCGTGAGAGAGCGCGTGAGAGAGCGCTTGAGAGTGCAAAATACACATACACAAATGAGAGACCGCCTGAGACAGCACGTGAGAGAGCACGTAAAACATCGCGTGAGAGAGCGCCTGAGACAGCGCGTGAGAGAGCGCGAGAGAGAGCGCGAGAGTGCGCTCTAGAGTGCGCGCGAGAGAGCGCGCGAGAGAGTGCACGGGAGAGAGCATGCAAGAGAGTGCGCGGGAAAGAGCGCGGGAAAGTGCGCGGGAAAGTTCGCGCGTGGGTGCACGCGATCGAGTGCGTGAGAGTGCACGTGAAAGTGCGCAAGAGAGAGCGCGTGTGAGTGCGTTCTAGAGTGCGCGCGAGAGAGCGCGCGGGAGAGTGCGCGAGAGTTCGTGCGAGGGAGCGCGCGAGCGAGCACGCGAGAGGGAGCGCATGAGGGAGCGCGTGTGGGAGCGCATGAGGGAGCGCGTGTGAGTGAGAGCGCGTGAGGATGCGCGTGAGAGCGAGCACGAGAGTGTACTCGAGAGAGAGCGCGAGAGAGCGCGTGAGAGTGCTGGTGTGAGTGCGAGGGCGAATGCGAGTGAGTGCGGGTGAGTGTGTAAGGCTGAGCGCGATGGTGCGGGTGTGATTGCAGTGGTGAGAGCGAAGGCGAATGCAAGTATGATTCCAAGTGTGAGTGCGTGCATGTGTGAGGATGAGGGTAAGGGTGATTGTGAAGGTGAATGCAAGGGTGGCTGCAGAGTATTGCATGCATTTTGGCGTGGTATGTGTGATGCCATAATGATGTCTACTATCAAGTCACCTTTATAAGATGTCAAATTTGACTGTTTTCATCACCCGTCTTTTGTTTGTATATTGCATTCTTCAGCGCCAATTTATGTTGCGCTTACTTTGTTTTTTAGTGCATCAATCTTGTTTTCTTGTGCAACTCATGCAAGTTGTATTCTCTGATTTTGTTTTTGTTTGTGCAGGGAGTGAGTTGCATTCGCTGATTTTTCTTCTTTTCTGTGCAGAGAGTTCAAGCTGCAGCCTTTGTTTCTTGCGGAGAAAAGGGACGGGGGGAAGGGAGATGAGGGAGGGAGGGAAGAGAATGGGGGACAGGCAGGCTGGTGTTGATTGTTTACAAGGCTGAACTTCATTCATTATGCTTGCATGCTGATAACCGTAGCTGTATGTTTTTGTGTTGTGTGTGCCTGTGTATGTGTGAGCCTGTATGTGTGTGAATGCGTACATGTGTGTGTTTTAGGGTATGGTGCTGAGTGCCTCGTGAATGCAACTCGGATTGTGATCGTCGGTGGGGCAGCTTTGCTAGCCTCTTCCGTACCATATCAATCTTAGTTGCAGCATTGATGCATAAAGCATTCGCCTTGAAACATTCTCTCCATTGTTGTCCGTCGTCTGTTTTTGTACCAGTTTGTTATTGTCTGTGCTTGTTTCGGGGTGTGGTGCAAAGTGCCTCGTGTATGCAACTGAGGTTGTGATCATCGGTGGGGCAGCTTTGCTTGCCTCTTCCGTACCATATAAATCCCAGTTGCTGCATTGATGCATTTTGTATTCCCCTCAGAACATGTACTGTACAATTGTTTTTGTACATGTTCGTTTTTGTGGTCATTTGTGTATGTGTATCTTTCGATTTGTGTGTCATTTGGTGTCACCATTAGTGCTAGAACGATTGTCCAATTATTCTATTCGCCTTGCTTATCGACAATTATGGATGATTGGACACATTTGGTTTCACATGGGGTAACTTATGTGAACAGAGTTCTCTTCCATAATTTTGGAGGGAAAAAAATCACTGTTCACGTCAGTTCTCCGAAAAGTGAAACCAAATGCATAAGGTTGTTACGCAACCCAAAAATTCTGGCACTTAGCTGAGACCATAAAATTTTGGCACTTCGTTTTCGATTCCAGTCAGTCAAGGCATGGACCTGCGAGCCCTGCCACGACCTCGGCTTGTTTTGTGCACTCCACCCATGCTAAAACACTAGTATGCGTGGAACTGGCGAATCTGCCCAGACGAATGTGAGTATGCGACAAATCTCTCTTCTTTGGCGTTGTTCAACGATGGGTGTGCGACGAATCTTGCCAGCAAGGCGAGGCGAAAATGGTGTTTGAGACTGGGGGAACTGCGGGCGTGAAACACGCAACATCGCTGCTGCACAGACGTCACGGAAAACCCGTTACTGAAAGTCTCACTGCAGTATATGTGCGCTACAAAAACGAGAATTGCGACCATCATAGTCATAGAACACCAACAACTCATCTGCTGCCACCTCTCCACCGAAAACTGACCACACCCGACTTGGTCAAATTCGTAGCCATTCCAAATCGTAGCGCTAAGCGCGCCGAGTTGCCGATCTCGTAGCACGCTCCCTGCGAGGCTGCCTGCAGCGGAATTTGGAATCACCGCAGGGCGGAATGGGTGCCGCCAGTGGGGGAGAACGCGGAGCGGCGTCCGCGGATTGCGGAACTGGCAGCAGCACATGCAGGAGCAACAACGGCATCCGCGGACGCGCAGCATGGCGGAACGCGGCGTGGTTCGCAGCGCACGTGTGCGCGGCGCTGGTCGTGCGCGCGGGGTTGGCGCAAACGGGGCTCGGTCGATGGCTGGAGACGCGGCCCGAAGTTGTGTCCACTATTAACTCCCGCGCCGCGTGTGAGAATAAGTTCCAGCGAGCGTGGCGAGCGCGAACGGGCCAGAATCAGGCAACGAAGAAACAGGGTTGTTATGGAGAGTACTAGCATATTGAGACTATTAGAGAATGGAGGTTACTACTTAAGTGTAATAGCCCAGCGGGATGCATGCTCAGGAGTGCCTGGGGGCAGTAGCGGGAGGGTGGAGGGGAGCGTAGACATTCACCAAGGAGGGGGGTGTAGTGTAGTGTAGTGTAGAGTAGTGTAGTGTAGTGTAGTGTAGTGTAGTGTGGTGTGGTGTGGTGTGGTGTGTGTGTAGTGTAGTGTAGTGTAGTGTAGTGTAGTGTAGTGTAGTGTAGTGTAGTGGGCTCTCAACAGTCGTTCACCCGTGCGGCCAGGCCCTTGCTTCCTTAGGTCCCGGGTTTGATCAAGCTAAGGCTCCTTGGTATTCCTCAGGCTTCTCATTTAGAGCTTGTATCTCACACACCTTACTGAACCTCGCACCCGGTATTTGCCACTGCAACACACCTTCCCTCCCCTCCCTCCCCTCCGCCCCCTCCCAATGCAGTGCTGGAAGCTCATTGGCTCATGGATCACGGCCTCTCACCCTACTCCGGTATGTCGTGCCACGTCTGCATGCCACGTACCCATGCTACGTCGGCATGTCTCCCTTGCCCCCTATGCCTCCAAGCACCTAAATGAATGCCTCACCACCGCACACATGCCTGGATGAACCGCTCTCTACCCACCACCGTCGTCCCACCACTCTCGCCCTCTATACTAGCACGAACCCTCATTTTCCGATCCGCAAGCTATGCTGGGGGTAGCTTACCATCATTGCACGTTGACTGTCCCTCGACATTGCATTTCGACCCACACTCACCCTCACCATCCCTCTCCCCTCACTTTTTTCTGCATCTTACTTCGCCTCTCCCCTCTCCTCTCTCCTCTGCACCACAGGCCCTCACTTCCAAGCTTCTCCCGTCCTGCTGCTCCTGCCCCCCTTCCTCCTCTCCCCAATCAACTTGTAAGTCGCACTGTGACACTCATCGCACCCTTTCTGAGTCGACTAGTAAAACCACCTTACATCAACTTGTAAGTCGCACACTCATCAACTTGTAAAACCGCCTCTGCCTCCTGTCGCCCATCTTCTTGTTTACATCACACTCATAAACCCACCCCTTTTGTAAGCACCCCCCTCTCTTACCCCCTCTCATGCATCACTCTCATACCCCATACCCCCTACCCCCTGCCCCTTGCGCACGCCCCCTTTCCTCTGTTATTCCTCTGTTCCCGCATATTCTCTCTTGAACCTGCTCTGTACCTTTTATTCTTCCACCCTGCTTTCCCTTGCTCCCGCACTCTATCCCCCCTCCCCCCTCCAACACTCCCTCCAACACTCCTATTAGCACGCTCCTCCCTCCTCGACCGCCACCCCACCCATATCAGACACCATCACAGCTGCCCTCCTCCTCCTCTCCGGATCTTTTGCTTTGTGTCTCCTTCCGTCCTTCCTCCCCTGTCTCTCTGAAACCGACTCTATCACTCACGGCATTCTTCCACTGCGCTCTCCCCCCCCCCCCCAACCACTCCCCTACTCCGCTACCCCCCCAATCCTCCTCTTCACGTCAGCGCGCTCCTGCTAACCATATCAGACACCATCACAGCTGCCCTCCTCCTCCTCTCCAGATCCTGCTCACCTCTCCAGATCCTGCTCACCTCTCCAGACCCCCACGTGAAACAAGTGTAGTTTTGAGACGTCTCAACACCCCACTCTGCTTCCCCCTGTCCTGCTCTCCCCCCACCCCACTCCGCTTCCCCCTCCTCTGCAGCACACTGCTCCTAACCATATCAGACATCATCACAGCAGCCCTCCTCCTCTTCTCCGGATCCCTCCTCCATCCTTCCTCCACTTCCTCTCCCTTCACCGCTTCCAAATCAAGCCATGCACCATCTGCCGTCACCTCTCTCCCTCCGCCCTTGGGCCTGGGAGCATGGAGCGCGCTGCTGCTGCTCTGGAACCCCCTCTCTGCTGCGGCAGCCATTGCTGGGGCTGCCTCTTCGCTTCTCTCGCTGCCGATTGCGCTCGCGCTCGCCTCTGCTGCTGCGGGTATGTGTGTGTGTGAGTGCGTGCTGTCTTGCTGCCGTGCTGCCCTGCTGCTGCTCTGGAACCCTCTCTCTGCTGCCGCTGCCATTGCTGGGGCTGCCATTGCTGGGGCTGCCATTGCTGGGGCTGCCATTGCTGGGGCTGCCATCGCTGGGGCTGCCATCGCTGGGGCTGCCATCGCTGGGGCTGCCATTGCTGGGGCTGCCATTGCTGGGGCTGCCATCGCTGGGGCTGCCATCGCTGGGGCTGCCATCGCTGGGGCTGCCATTGCTGGGGCTGCCATTGCTGGGGCTGCCATTGCTGGGGCTGCCATTGCTGGGGCTGCCATTGCTGGGGCTGCCATTGCTGGGGCTGCCATTGCTGGGGCTGCCATTGCTGGGGCTGCCATTGCTGGGGCTGCCATTGCTGGGGCTGCCATTGCTGGGGCTGCCATTGCTGGGGCTGCCATTGCTGGGGCTGCCATTGCTGGGGCTGCCATTGCTGGGGCTGCCATTGCTGGGGCTGCCATTGCTGGGGCTGCCATTGCTGGGGCTGCCATTGCTGGGGCTGCCATTGCTGGGGCTGCCATTGCTGGGGCTGCCATTGCTGGGGCTGCCATTGCTGGGGCTGCCATTGCTGGGGCTGCCATTGCTGGGGCTGCCATTGCTGGGGCTGCCATTGCTGGGGCTGCCATTGCTGGGGCTGCCATTGCTGGGGCTGCCATTGCTGGGGCTGCCATTGCTGGGGCTGCCATTGCTGGGGCTGCCATTGCTGGGGCTGCCATTGCTGGGGCTGCCATTGCTGGGGCTGCCATTGCTGGGGCTGCCATTGCTGGGGCTGCCATTGCTGGGGCTGCCATTGCTGGGGCTGCCATTGCTGGGGCTGCCATTGCTGGGGCTGCCATCGCTGGGGCTGCCATCGCTGGGGCTGCCATTGCTGGGGCTGCCATTGCTGGGGCTGCCATTGCTGGGGCTGCCATTGCTGGGGCTGCCATTGCTGGGGCTGCCATTGCTGGGGCTGCCATTGCTGGGGCTGCCATTGCTGGGGCTGCCATTGCTGGGGCTGCCATTGCTGGGGCTGCCATTGCTGGGGCTGCCATTGCTGGGGCTGCCATTGCTGGGGCTGCCATTGCTGGGGCTGCCATTGCTGGGGCTGCCATTGCTGGGGCTGCCATTGCTGGGGCTGCCATTGCTGGGGCTGCCATTGCTGGGGCTGCCATTGCTGGGGCTGCCATTGCTGGGGCTGCCATTGCTGGGGCTGCCATTGCTGGGGCTGCCATTGCTGGGGCTGCCATTGCTGGGGCTGCCATTGCTGGGGCTGCCATTGCTGGGGCTGCCATTGCTGGGGCTGCCATTGCTGGGGCTGCCATTGCTGGGGCTGCCATTGCTGGGGCTGCCATTGCTGGGGCTGCCATTGCTGGGGCTGCCATTGCTGGGGCTGCCATTGCTGGGGCTGCCATTGCTGGGGCTGCCATTGCTGGGGCTGCCATTGCTGGGGCTGCCATTGCTGGGGCTGCCATTGCTGGGGCTGCCATTGCTGGGGCTGCCATTGCTGGGGCTGCCATTGCTGGGGCTGCCATTGCTGGGGCTGCCATTGCTGGGGCTGCCATTGCTGGGGCTGCCATTGCTGGGGCTGCCATTGCTGGGGCTGCCATTGCTGGGGCTGCCATTGCTGGGGCTGCCATTGCTGGGGCTGCCATTGCTGGGGCTGCCATTGCTGGGGCTGCCATTGCTGGGGCTGCCATTGCTGGGGCTGCCATTGCTGGGGCTGCCATTGCTGGGGCTGCCATTGCTGGGGCTGCCATTGCTGGGGCTGCCATTGCTGGGGCTGCCATTGCTGGGGCTGCCATTGCTGGGGCTGCCATTGCTGGGGCTGCCATTGCTGGGGCTGCCATTGCTGGGGCTGCCATTGCTGGGGCTGCCATTGCTGGGGCTGCCATTGCTGGGGCTGCCATTGCTGGGGCTGCCATTGCTGGGGCTGCCATTGCTGGGGCTGCCATTGCTGGGGCTGCCATTGCTGGGGCTGCCATTGCTGGGGCTGCCATTGCTGGGGCTGCCATTGCTGGGGCTGCCATTGCTGGGGCTGCCATTGCTGGGGCTGCCATTGCTGGGGCTGCCATTGCTGGGGCTGCCATTGCTGGGGCTGCCATTGCTGGGGCTGCCATTGCTGGGGCTGCCATTGCTGGGGCTGCCATTGCTGGGGCTGCCATTGCTGGGGCTGCCATTGCTGGGGCTGCCATTGCTGGGGCTGCCATTGCTGGGGCTGCCATTGCTGGGGCTGCCATTGCTGGGGCTGCCATTGCTGGGGCTGCCATTGCTGGGGCTGCCATTGCTGGGGCTGCCATTGCTGGGGCTGCCATTGCTGGGGCTGCCATTGCTGGGGCTGCCATTGCTGGGGCTGCCATTGCTGGGGCTGCCATTGCTGGGGCTGCCATTGCTGGGGCTGCCATTGCTGGGGCTGCCATTGCTGGGGCTGCCATTGCTGGGGCTGCCATTGCTGGGGCTGCCATTGCTGGGGCTGCCATTGCTGGGGCTGCCATTGCTGGGGCTGCCATTGCTGGGGCTGCCATTGCTGGGGCTGCCATTGCTGGGGCTGCCATTGCTGGGGCTGCCATTGCTGGGGCTGCCATTGCTGGGGCTGCCATTGCTGGGGCTGCCATTGCTGGGGCTGCCATTGCTGGGGCTGCCATTGCTGGGGCTGCCATTGCTGGGGCTGCCATTGCTGGGGCTGCCATTGCTGGGGCTGCCATTGCTGGGGCTGCCATTGCTGGGGCTGCCATTGCTGGGGCTGCCATTGCTGGGGCTGCCATTGCTGGGGCTGCCATTGCTGGGGCTGCCATTGCTGGGGCTGCCATTGCTGGGGCTGCCATTGCTGGGGCTGCCATTGCTGGGGCTGCCATTGCTGGGGCTGCCATTGCTGGGGCTGCCATTGCTGGGGCTGCCATTGCTGGGGCTGCCATTGCTGGGGCTGCCATTGCTGGGGCTGCCATTGCTGGGGCTGCCATTGCTGGGGCTGCCATTGCTGGGGCTGCCATTGCTGGGGCTGCCATTGCTGGGGCTGCCATTGCTGGGGCTGCCATTGCTGGGGCTGCCATTGCTGGGGCTGCCATTGCTGGGGCTGACTCCTCCTTTTCTCGCTGCTCACTGCCCTTGCGCTGGCTTCTGCTGCTGCTGGTATGCACGCACGCACGCACGCACGCACGCACGCACGCACGCACGCGCGCATGCACGCACACATGTATGTATGTAAAGGATAGGTAGAAGGTGCGAGAACGCACCTCCGCTTCCCTCTGCTCTATTATGGTCCTCGCTCACGCCTTCTCTTCCCTCCGCCGCCCATGCCTCTCTTCCCTCTTTGACTTTCTCAACCAACAGGCAATCCGCCTTTGGCAGCCATGCATATGGCAGCCATGCATATGGCAGCCATGCATATGGCAGCCATGCATATGGCAGCCATGCATATGGCAGCCATGCATATGGCAGCCATGCATATGGCAGCCATGCATATGGCAGCCATGCATATGGCAGCCATGCATATGGCAGCCATGCATATGGCAGCCATGCATATGGCAGCCATGCATATGGCAGCCATGGGTATGGCTCTATACATGCTCCTCTCTCAGGCCTTTCTTCCACTCTCCCTCTCACGCTTCGCCGCTCTTCCCATTTCCTACCGCGCGTGCAGGCAACCCGCCTCTGGCAGCCATGGGCATGGCATGATGGGCTCTACGCACGGGTATCCCATCACAACCCGCTTTCTTTCATAAATGCCTGCCAACTGTCTCTCACTCTTCGCCACTCTTCACCGCTCTTCCCATTTCCTACCGCGCGCGCAGGCAACCCGCCTCTGGCAGCCATGAGCATGGCTCTATGCATGGTGCTCTCGCCGTCATCCACTGTCCTGCTAGTGCCTGTACGTATGCCAACGTATGCATGCATGGTCCCCTCCCATGCCAATCATTTGCCCCACATTTTCCCATCATTTCCCCCTCATCTGCCCCACACGTGCCCCTCACGTGCCCCTCGCATTACCCCCACACGTGCTCCTCACATGCCCCTCCCCCACGCCCATTTGTGCAGGTCCTGCTGCTGCTGCTTAGCAGACCCTCCTCCCAATCAGCTGCTATGCAAACAGCACCCCTCACATGCCCTTCCCCCACGCCCATTTGTGCAGGTCCTACTGCTGCTGCTTAACAGACCCTCCTCCCAACCAGCCGCCTCTGCCCACGCACCCGTTGCTATGCAAACAGCACCAGTAGTAGCAGCATCAACAGCAACAAAAGCGGCAGCAGCAGCAGCAGCAGCAGCAGCAGCAGCTACGACAACAGCAGAAGCTACCACCCGTTCCCCTCACCGCCCCTCTTCCCAGCGTCACCACCTGCTCGGCCCCTTCCTCCTCCTCCTCGCGCTCTGGCTAGCCACTCTCCTTTCCGCCTGTCACCTGCTGCTGCTCCCATACGGGGGTCTTCTGCCTGCATTCTCTCAGTAATTCTCTTTTCCTCACCGTTCACCTTCACCCTCACGAATTTGGAGACGTCTATTTTTCAAGATGCCACACGACCATCCTTACAGCGTCTATCTTTGCGCTCTAATTTGAAAACCCTCAAAAGTCGTCTATCTCTTCAGCAACGTATATCTCTTCTTCCCTTCTCTCCCCTTTGCCCCACCCGCCCGTCCCCCCCTGCAGCATCTATCCATTCGCTCTGCAACTCTCAGACCTTACACCCAACCTCGGCCTGCGCTGGTTCGGTCACTCGCCCTCTTGTTGCCCCTAAGTTTTGTGGTTTGTTCTTGCTGTTGTTTCTGTTCTTGCCTCTTATGTTTCTCTGCCTACGTTTCTTCCCAGCATGTTCCTTTCGCAATCTCTCAACGATCTTTCCCATCCCAGCATCTCCACCTTTCCTTCTCTTCAACTCCCCTCCCCTCCCCCCCTCCCCTCCCCTGCTCCCCTGCCCTCCCAACCTCCCCTGCCCTCTTCCTCTCCCTTTGAGGGTTTTATTTGCAAGGACCTGTGTCTCAGATTTTTCAGAGCTGAGAATTCTCAAAAGCGACTCAGATTTCTTTGCACAGGCCTGTGCATACCTTCGCCCATTCTACTCCCTTCTACATCCCCTCCCCTCTTCCCCTCCCGTCCCCTCCCGTGCCCTCCCGTCCTTTCCTCTCCCCACCACCGCTCTCCCTTTCAGGTATTTCTTCACAGAGGCCACGCTCTGAGCCACGCTCTTGACTTTTGAGTCGACTCAAAAGTCAACACAGAGGCCACGCTCTGAGCCACGCTCTTGACTTTTGAGTCGACTCAAAAGTCAACACAGAGGCCACGCTCTGAGCCACGCTCTTGACTTTTGAGTCGACTCAAAAGTCAACACAGAGGCCACGCTCTCAGCAACGCTGCTCCTCGTGCTGCCGCCCCTCGCCCTGCGCCTGCACCGCCGCCCCTTCTTCCTCCTTTTGAGACGCCCCAGAACTCTTGACGCGTCTCAAAACCTTCCCCATCTCACCTCCCCTCCTCCTTTCCCTTCTTCCCCTCCCGTCCCCTTCCCTGCTCCCCTTCCCTCCTCCATTTCCGTCTCCTCCCCTGCTCCCCTCCCCACCAGGTATTTCTTTGCAGAGGCCTTTGCATACATCCGTCCATTCTACTCCTTTGTCTTCTCCGCCACGCTCCTCCTCGTGCTGCCTCCGCTCGCGCTGCGCCTGCACCGCCGGCCCTTCTTCCTCGCCTTTGCACTCCTCCTCTCCTCGCAGATCGTCGCTCCCTATCCCACTGTACGGTTAAATTACATGTACCCCACACCACACTACACCGCACTACACCACACCTTGCCCCTCGCGCTGCCCCTGTACCGCTGGCCCTTCTTCCTCGCCTTTGCGCTGCTCCTCTCCTCGCAGATCGTCGCTCCCTATCCCACTGTACGGTTACATCATATGCACCCCACACCATCCACCCCACACCATGCACCCAACCCATGCACCACTCGCCCTCTGCACTGCCGGCCCTTGTTCCTCGCCTTTGCACTTCTGCTCTCCGCCCACATCGTCGCTCCCTACCCTACCGTATGGCTTTTGATATGTGTCCCCCCCTCCTCCCCCCCCCTCCCCCTCTCTCCCCCCTTCCCCACCCACTGTATGGGGTGCGTGCACCACATGCAGCCATGTCGTGCGTGGCACCGCATGGCTCCACATAACACCACATGGCATCTCTGTGTACCACATCGCACTCCAAAAAATGCGCCACGTGCTTTTAAGTTGCTCATGACAACCCACCACACCCACCACGTGCCAAGTCACTAAGGCTTGACTTGCGAGTCCCCACCCCACCACTGTTTCCTCCTCACTTTTGAAATGAGATACATAACCTTCCTCCCGTGCATGTCACTATGGCTTGACTTGACCCCCCCCTCCCTCCCGTTCTTTCCCCCTCCCTCCCCTCTCTCCACCCCGTTTCACCCCTTTTCACCACTTTTCACCCCTCTCCACCCCTCTACTTCCCCCCTGTATTCACCAGGTAGGGGAGTCGGGGTTCATCCTTGCGTTGCTGCCCCTGTTCCTCCCTCAGCTATCAGGTTTCCTCCTCCCCTCTTCCTCTCATGTCTTCCTCCTGTCCCCTTCTTCTCTACTCACCTCTCCTCCTCTCCTTACCTCCTGTCCCCTCCTCCTCTCCTCGCCTCCTGCCGTTCTCCTCGTCCCATACCCGCGTTCCTTACCTCGCCTCTTCATTTCATGTACGAGTTGTCTCGAAGCTTCTTCCGTGCATGCTTCTTCCGTGCATGCTTCTTCCTTCCTTCCATGCTTCTTCCTTCCTTGCATGCTTCTTCCTTCCTTCCTGGCATGCACGAGTAGCCTCCGAGCTTGTTCTTTCGTTGCATAAAGTCAGCCACGTTCGAACCGACCAACCTTCTGCTGCCGTTCGTTCCCTCCCCTTCTGTGTCCTTCGCCTCGCCAATCCCTCTCCCCTGCGCAACCATGCACTCCTGCTCCCATGCTCCCATGCACTGCCCTCCATTCTCTCTCTCCGTCCTCCCTCTTCCTCCCCCCTCTCCCTCCCCCCATTCCCTCCCCACTCTCCCTCCTCCCTCTCCCCCCTCTCCCTCTTATCTCTCCCACCTCCCCCCCCCGTCATTGCAGCGATGCGCTTTGTGTTTGTGATCTTGTTGGGCTACCTCCTAGTGCACACAATGGGTCCCACCATGTGGGATCTGTGGGTCCTCAAGGTGAGAAAAGGGGAATAACACCCTCCACCCACCCCCCCCCCCCCCCCGTCACTACCAGCTTTCCTTTCCTCCCCCTCCACCTCTGCTCCTAGTGCACACCATGGGTCCTACCATGTGGGAACTGTTGATTCTCAAGGTAAGATAAGAGGAGCAAGGAACAACCATCTCCCCCCCACCACTGGCTTTCCGTTCCTCCCCTCCGCCTCTGCTCCTGGTGCACACCATGCGCCCTACCATGTGGGATCTGTGGATTCTCAACGTGAGAAGGCGAATATACCCCCACCACTCGTTAGTTGCTCGCCTCCCCTTTTCCTCCTCTCGACCCTGTGCACACCACGGGCCCACCGTGTGGGATACGTGGATCCTCAAGGCATAAGCTGTTCTCGAAACAAGGGGAATAAGCCCTCACCAACCACTAGTTGCCTTCCTCTCCTCCAATTCTTTTCCTAGTGCTTCCTTGAAAGCCCCACAAATTAGGTGACTTTTGAGTCGACTCAAAAGTCACCAATAGTTGCTTTCCTCTTTTCCAACTCTTTTCCTAGTGCTTCCTTGAAAGCCCCACAAATTTGTACTACCATGACAGTGTACAGCTAGTGCCTCTATTTCATTCAAGGTGGCTTTTGAGTCGACTCAAAGGCCACCTCTGTGACAGCGCAGAGCTAGTAGCTCATTTTCATTCTGCAGTCCTGGGGTAATGGTTCAAAGGCCTATTGTATGTTATTCAACCCTGTAACTTCCTTCTGCATCGTCACGCTCACCATATTCCCATCCCCGTCCACGCGTGCAACTTATGCTGCTGTCATCTTTGTGTGCAGAGCATTGGAAACGCCAACTTCTTCTTTGCCGTGGTCCTCATTTTTGCTGCTATCCAAGTAAGCTCTATTTCCGCTTCACGCAATAACAGTTGTAATTTGTTTCGTGGACAAGTCATGGCTCTCTGTTGAATTAATGTTATGGGGATGTGAAAAACGTGTCATATCACCATTGCATGTTTGTGTCGATTGCAGGGACTTCTTCTGGTGGAATCAGTGCATACAGTGCTAATGCATGATCGTACACTCAAGAAACTAGACATGGCATCACATATGCTCAATGTGTCATAATAGCTCCTGGCATAAGGTCATGGTAGGAATATATACACTACGAGCTGTAGTTTTCGCCTAAGGCTAGGTTCGCTCTGTATCCTATCTTTACTGTGTTCGATTTGAACTGTGCACACGAGTTGCGCGGGGACATTTCTGTTGTTCTGTAGCCTCTGATTTGTGTCGGGCTGTCGCCGATTGCCGTTAGCCGTGTGTGGTTTGTTTGTTTGCCTCACCTCTCTATCACGTGGAGAGCAACACATGAGGCGGTGAATGCTTGGCTTGGCAACTCTCCCCTCTCCACCCTCTCCTGTGGCGGGAAACAGACATTTCTTACATCGAAAAACAGACTGCTCCAAAAAACAAGCAGTTCCATACGCACCACCGTTCCACCTCACCCCTCCTCGCTCCCGCCCAGGCCTCGTGATTGGTTTGCGTGGGATGAGAGCTCAACACCCTCACTTCCATCGTACAGTCGGTGCTCATTTCAAGAACACCAGGTAGGCGGGCGGCATGTGAGTGAAACGAGTTTTAAACTCTTCGCCACATTCGCCCTTGTCGCCACGGGCAAAAATGTGATTGTAAAACGAAATTGGAATGTGAAACGAGTCTAGGGGTTTAAGTTCGTAACCAGGTAAACAATTCTGATGACAGGCAGCCGTTGTTGTTTATGAACTGTAGATGTTTTTCTTCCTCGACTTGGTGACTGTACCCCGAAATCAGCACAATCACCACTCACAGGCAAAACGTTCGCGAGTGACTGATTTTCTAAGGGTGATGAGCAAATTTTTGTGATAGGCTGAGCATCGACTGTAATTTACTCGTAGTTTCAGGGAAAGCATCTGAATATCACACGTGAGTGTGCGGGTTCAGGAATAATAACTGTAATTTGCGACATACCGAAGATTAGCGAGTAGTGTAATCAAAATTACTGTACATGGAGATCTCTGCAGCACCCAAGCTATTGCTAGGTTTGTTCCAAACTTTTATGAATAGCATTTCTCTTGCTTGATCGACATCGCTGAAATGGCCATGGATTGCTGAGGCATGGAGGGTATTTTATCCTTTTTCCCAAATCAAGTTCCCAACTGATCCCACAGACATTCTTCTGTACTTTTTGTCCTGGAGGCATTTTCCGAACCTTTTGTTCGGGCAGCACTATGCCACGTAGTGTACAGTGCTTTTCTATACCACTGGCAAACATTGTTCGTTTCAAACCTAGCTTCCACACTTCGTTCGTCCAATCTTGAGCACACAAGGGGCCCTCAAGGGAGATACAGTGTCCACTCTTAGCCATCCATGGGCACAGCAATCTTTTGATCACGCCCCTGAAATGCACGTGTCACTTTGCAAGTTTGTCCCCTTTTTTACTCCGGTCTAGGCCTCAGTTTTCGAACAAACTTGACGCGTGTGCATTGTGCAGCGAGAATCTCTCCCATGGCTCACACTTGCTCAAAAGCTCGGATATTGCGAGATGCCCACGATCAAAAGGAGAGGCCCAGCGCACCTTCACTGGCCCAGCATGCCAACCACTTGTGGTGGCATTCCCATGGTTGCGCGGCGTTCCGCCGCAGATCCGTTACACCATGTGCCGAGTTCGGTTAGGCGTGTCAAACAGTGTAAACGCTTTTCCGGTCTTAACGTGTCCTCGCGCTTTCCACCTCATCATCTTGTCCCCTCCTCCCAAATTTCCGCCGCATGCACGGTCGAACCGCATCCAGGTGGTTCGCATGCTGGTTGGCGGATCCCATCCTTTACCGTCGCTTCACACGGATCGCCATCAATGCCTGTCGGTACGCGTCGCGCTAACGGCAGATCCGATTTACGCATCCCCATTCCCAATTCCCACGAAGCATATTCTCCACGCATTCTTCCCTCCCGGCCCCCACCACCCTATTTCTAGCCCCTTTCCCCCGACTTTCATTCCGGATGGACTTTGCATGTACTTTACGTCTGTGACTTTCAGTTACTGGTCGTTTCCACTTTACGCGGCGTTCGACAAAGTATGCAGCATTCTGAACGAGAAAACCGAAACCTCCGACCAACGAACGACACACCGAACAGTTCTATCTTCCAAAGCAGATCTCCGATCTCCTCCGTCGTGTTCTCGTTTGGCTCAACTCAACTGAGGCTTACATTCCGCCCGAACGGCCTCGTCTCCCGCTTTCTTGTGCCATTGCGTCTAAACAATTTCGATCGCTTCAAATTTGCGTTTTCGTGTGCAACGGACCGGTGTAAGCAAAGCAGCGGAGCGTCATGAGCACGGCGACTCTACCCGCATTGCACGCAAGCCAGACCATAATGTCGTCAGTGTCTACTACATCGAGCAGCAGCACCTCGCGGCGGCTTACTGAGATCGGCGGCGACATTATCGCGGAAGAGTTACCGTGGGTGCCTCGGGATTGCCACCATTCGCACCCACCCGTTAACAACAGTCCGTCAGCCGTAAATTCCTCGTCCGCCGAGTCCCCGCGGCGCGCAGCGCGTTTCGAAAACGACCCGCGCGACGACGAAATATTTAACGACGACGACGACGACGACTCATCGCACGAGGGCGACGACATTAATATGAACGGCGAAGCCCACGCGACGCCGCCAGAAGCGATGGAAGACGGCGGCGCGTCGCGCGGCGACAGCAGTAAGGCCGTGAGGCGAAGTTTAGCAGATGTCGAGATGCGCGCATTGGAAGGCAAGTTAAAGCTACTCGACGTGCAGCGGGAGCTAAGCTCTCTCCACTGCCAGCGCTTCATTCACGTACTCGAATCGACTCTCCACGCCAGCAGAAGCGCCCCTACTACACCATTCCCGACGAATAATACTCCCAACCATTCCCGACCGAGCAATAAACCCTCCGCCGGTTCGGACCCTCTCTTTGGGGGCGACGCGGCCGGCGCGGCGGCTCCGTCCCTTGGACTCTGCAACAGCCTGCCTTGGGACTATTACGCCGGCGGCGGATCGGCGGGAAGCCACGATCACGACCTTCAACGGTCGCTTCCGACGCGCTCCGTCACCCTGTCCCTGTCTCTCGCGCGCTCGCGTTCGACGCCCGGGTCGCTGCACAACAGGCAGGATTCGCCGCGCGTCAGGAGGGCTGCGACGGCCGCGACTCCGCGGAGCAGCAGGCGGCATCGCGCCGCCGCCACAGCAGCAGCAGCGATTGGGTTCTGATCCGCCGCATTATTCTCGTTATAATGCCCGGCATTACTAATGGTATTGCCATTACCATCACGGTGATGACGACGACGAAGATGACACTCGTGATTGCCACATGTTCCCGTTACTCCGTTACGAACGGCCCAGCTGGTATCATCATGATCTCCCAGCTCATTCGAGTGCAGCTCATTGAGTTGAGAGCAGCAAGCAACTCGAAACCAGTGTGGCTATGCTGTTCTGTGCGGGCGTCAACACTCAAGCCTGCTGACTCAGCAGGCTGCTGCTGAAGCGGCACGCGGCACCCATGGGAAGTGGCTCACTTCACTATCCATGGCAGTCGCGGCTGTGCTGTGGGCTTTGCAACTTGGTGGCCCATGTAATGCTGTTCATTTGATGGTTCTACTAGCTGATCTGGCAACCATACAATGACTTACAAAAGTGAGCCTGATGAGGATGCTGCATCTGCGCATCCAGTGAAACACTGCTTTCTGCTACTACTGTAATAAGGGAGCGGCTTTAGTGCCTTGCTGTTCCGCTCTTCCATGTACCATGGCTTTTTCTTCTGGTCTACCCTCCCTTTCTCATGGTATTAGGTGGGATTCTTCTCCCACATTGTATGTAGCATGTACAGTGTGGATGTCAGCTCGTTGCCAATAGCTTTGTACACAATGAAATAGACATCTTTCTATACGGCCTGTAACCCAGAGTAGTACATCACCGAACCGAAGCATATTTGGGGAATCCTCACTTGTTGCTCTCATGGTATACTAGTTATGCTATGCACACACTGTACCCCCTCTGCCAGGGGTGTTTAGCTAGTCAAATTAGCACCTATAACAAGTATTGACAATGTAAGTCCCGTATTAGACTTCAACATATACTACTATACTATAAACACCACACTCTCAACCCCCTATAAACACCACACTGCCACCAGCCACTCCCTATCCCCCCTATATGTTACGCACAGATTCTGTACCCCGTACATCCACCCCTGGCAATAGCTTCGCGTCCTTCAAAACCCTCTATAAGTTACTGTACCCATCCACTAAAACCCTCCAAATTTACGGCGGCTCGGGGTCCTGCTGAGCTGCGAGATTCTCCCGGTTGTCGTGCGCCCAGAAACCGCCAATGTCAATCAGCATGTTGCACACTGTCTCGCCCTGCTTGCAGTCTACCAGGTCCTCCAGGGTGATTCTCAGGGGGTCCTGCGGCTTCACCATGTCCCAGATCTCATCCTTCACATCCTCGATCATCAGCTCGTAGTTGCCTCCCTCCATCCACCGCTTGTGCACCGACCTGACCAGATGGGGGGGGAGGGAGGCGGAAGGGCAGGGGGAGGGGGAGGGGGAAGGGGGAAGGGGGAGGGGGAGGGGGAGGGGAAGGGGGAAGGGGGAGGGGGAAGGGGGGGGGGAAGGGGGAGGGGGAAGAGGGAGGGAGATCCAGAGTGAATCTCAAGGGGAAAGCACAGGGGGAGGAGGGGCGTCCTGTGGCTTCACCATGTTCCAGATCTCATCCTCCACGTCCTCTATCATCAGCTCGCAGTTGCCTCCCTCCATCCACCGCTTGTGCACCGACCTGACGAAATGGAGGCATGTGCAGCGTGTGTGGGAAGGGAAAGGAAAGGGAGAGGAAGGGAAGGAATATTCATGGTGAGGACACTGGCAGTGATGAGAAAGCGCATCTCCTGCAGGTCAAACCCCTTGACAAAGCCAAGCCCCTCTTCGTGCAACTGAGAAACGGAACCCCCTGGCTTCCCCACCTGAAGAGCGTGTAGACATCAGCCGTAGTAAGAAAGCCGCGCTCGTGCAGGTCGAGGCACTTGAAGATGTAGGCGAGGCCCTCGGGCGTGTGCTTGTTGTCCAGCGCCAACACCACGTCCAGAAACGACCCCAAGTCCATCTCCCCCCGCACGCCCCCGTGGCCCCTCGCCTTGCGCACGTGCTCGTCAAACACTGGCGTGGGGGGGACACAGGAAGGGGAGAGCGGAGAGGGAGGAAAGTGGAGAATGAGAAACAAGAAGGGAGAAACGACCCCAAGTCCATCTCCCCCGCACCCCCCCGTGGCCCCTCGCCTTGCGCACGTGCTCGTAAAACACTGCCGATGAGGGGAAGAAGGAGGGTGGGGGGAGATGGACAGCGGTGGGTGGAGGGCATAGGGGGTGGGTAGAGCGGGCAGAAGGGACAGTGTGTGGTGGTGATTCAGCTTATGGAAAAAAGCAGAGCCGACACAATCGATGAGCAGAAGCAGACGGCGCGCAGGCAAGGACCCAGTGGTATGCCTCTCCCCTCACCTCGCTCGATGAAGATATCTGTGAGGTTGTCATCATTGAACGCCCTCAACTCCTCCTTGGACAGCCCGCCACTATTACACGGTGAGATGCGGTCCAGTGCGGTGGTATGCATGCAGTAACAGCTTCGGTTCATACCCACCCCTTCCCCCCATTCCCCCTTCCCTCGCCCCTCACCTCGTTCAATGAAGATATCAGTGAGGTTGTCATCGTTGAACGCCCTCAACTCCTCTTTGGACAGCCCGCCACTGCGGTCCACGTCCAGAGCCATGAACATCTCTGAACAGGGCGGGCGGTTCAAGAGAGAGAGAGAGTTTGTTGTGTGTGAGCCGACTCTGTACAGGGTGGTTTGTTGTGTGTGAGCCGACTCTGTCTAGTGCAAATTGTTGCTCGGCTGGCATGGCGTGGCATGGACTTACATGGACTGGCACGGCATGGCAAAAGGTGGGATGGTACGATGTGGCATGGCACAATACGGGAAGGCACGAGCACTCACGATGTATTCTCTTGGCGGATGACAGTGCAAACCAGTTCTCCTGCAGCGCAGCCAGTTGGTCCTCGCCCTCCGCATCCTGTGGAAGGGGAGAACACGACACACCAGGTCAATGAGAAAGAGCGACGGGAGGGAGAGGAAGAGTCTATTGTTGAGGCACATCAGAAATAGTTTTCCTGCAGAGCAGCCAGCTGGCACGAAATGGAATGACCGGGTGGGTGTGCTCGCACCGTGCAGCATGTGGGATGGTGCATGTGCATGTGCATGTGCATGTACGATCGAGCAAAACAGCATACGCAGCATACCTGTCTCAGTTCCATGAGTTCAGATAGCACGGGTGACAGTAGCACCTCGCGAATCAACAGCTTGCCTGATAGATGAAGGGAATGACAGGGCACAGCACGGCAAGACCAGAACACGGGAGGGACAGGAGACGGACAGCGGAGGAGCAGGGGCATAGGCAGGGAGAGGGGCAGGACAGGGAGAGGGGCAGGGCAGGGCAGGGACGGCATGTGAGTAGGAAACTTCGGAGAAAGATCAACAAGGCAAAGAGCACACTTGCAGTCTTCACCATGGAAGCAAACAGGAAGAGAACAAGGCCAGGTTGAACATTAAGCACGAAAAGAAATGAAGAAAAGAAAAGAAGGAAAGAAAAGAAAGGGCATAATCACTCCACTTCGCCCCCCCCTGCCGTGTATCATTCTCAGCGCTCCGCACCTCTCTTTTGCGGGTCGCAGAAGAAGAGGAACTTGCGCGTGGAGATGCGGCAGTAGGTGTGAGTCGACTCAGAACCCATTCTGCTCTCATGCACTCACGCACACACACATGCACGCACACATTCACACATGCACACACGCACGCACAGACGCAACCCCACCTCTCTTTTGTGGGTCGCAGAAGAAGAGGAACTTGCGCGTGGAGATGCGGCAGTAGGTGTCGAGGAACTCGGGCTCCATGCCCTTGAGCAGCTTCAGCGACGGCACCAGCCCTCGGATGTACGCCTCCATCTCCTGGTGAGAGGAGATGGGGGAGGGAGAGAGAGGCAGTGGAGGGGAGGGAGATGGAGAGGGGGAAGAGGGGGAAAGGGGAGGGGGGCGGGGGATGGGGGTACGGGAAAAGGGGAGTGAGGAGCACAGGAGGGGAGAGCGCTGGTGGGAAGATGGCATACGGTAACCCATCCAGAGTTCTGGCGAGTAGGTGTCGAGGAACTCGGGCTCCATGCCCTGCACCAGCCCTCGGATGTACGCCTCCATCTCCTGGTGAGTTATGCAAAAGGGGGAGGAGAGGGCGGCAGTGGTGGGGAGTGAGATGGGAGGACAGCGGGATGTTGGGATGGGGCTATGGGGAACTCGGGCTCCGTGCCCTTGAGAAGCTTCAGCGACAACACCAGCCCTCGAATGTACGCCTCCATCTCCTGACGAGGTGCCGTGGGGGGAGGGGGTGGGGGAAAGAGGAGCGGGAAGGAAGTGGGAATGCGGAATGGGGGAAGTGGAAGGGGGAACGGGGCGAGGGGAAATCGTGAAGGGGTATGGGGATGAGAAGCAAGGGAGGAGGGAATGCGGCGTATAGCATGCACACATGAGGACTGTGAGCATGTGAGCATGGGGATGATGGGGATGATGGGGATGATGGGGGTGAAGCTAGCGGGGGTGGGAGTGAGCACTTACGGATGGCTTGAGGTACCCATCCCCGTCATGGTCCAACATGGACATGTCAATGCGCGTCTGAGTAATGGACACCTGTCAAACATGCATGTACACACACGTGCATGCACACAAGGACACATAAACACATGGTTACACGCATGACCACATGGTTATGGCACATGACAACAAGCACAAGGAAAAGGGAGCGACAAACGCAGCAGCAGAGTCAGCATATCACGGCTCGCAAAAAGGACCATAATACACCCAGCCTTTCCCCCTCCCCTCTCTCATCCACACCCCCCGCGCCCGCTCACCCAGCGCATGACGCGCATGACGTAGAGGTAGAAGGGCAGGATGGGATCGCAACCACCCTCTCCCCCACCTTGTCCCCTCCACGCTTTCCAACCCCCCACCCCCCCCCCCCCCCTCTCCCCGCTCCAAAAAGATCATAAATCGTTTTCCCCGCTCACCCAGCGCATGACGTAGAGGTAGAAGGGCAGGATGGCGATGCGCCCCTTCCATGCGCAGTCTGTCTCGTGCAGTCCCTCCCCCTAGTCCCAGCCTTCCCCCGCACACTCCCCGTTCCCCCCGCCCGCTCACCCAGCGCATGACGTAGAGGTAGAAGGGCAGGATGGCGATGCGCCCCGAGTCGTCCGCCTCGAAGGTGAGGAACGTGGCGGCCGTGAAGAACCGCTGGCACTTGCTGCCCACGCGCTCCGCGCACACCGCCGCCACCTGCGTGAAGTCGTCGTAGTTGATCTGCGCAGATGCGGGGGGGGGGGGAGGGGGGGGGACGCGGGGAAACGGGCGGGGGGGGGAAGGGGCGCAATTCTATTTTTGTGAACTCGAAATTCGCCGCCACCTGCGTGAAGTCGTCGTAGTTGATCTGCGCAGCGCCCGGGGGGGAACGGGGGGCGCGGGGGGGAGGCGGGGGGGGAGAAACGGGGCGCGCGGAAACGGGTGGGTGGAAAACGGGGAACGAACGGGCGATGGGGGGAGAAAGGGAGGTGCCCGCCCGAGTTTTCGTCAGGCAGCGTGTGGTTCTCCCGCAGGCATATCCACAGTATCTCCAGCTCGCTCTGCTTCTGACACACCCCACCCTCAAAAGTCTTTCAATCTCCCTCTGCCCCAGTGACAAGCCCCACCCTTTGCCCCCACTTCCACCCCCCCCCCCCCCCCCCCTTTCCGCCACTCCCCGTCCCCAAGTCGCCCCGCTTCCAAGGCCCCGTTCTTACTTTTCCACCGTCCCCGGCTCACCCGCTCAGTGCCCGAGTCCTCGTCAGGTAGCGTGCGGTTCTCCCGCAGGCACATCCAGAGCATCTCCAGCTCGCTCTGATCCAGCAGCGACTCTTTCTGCCGCTGCTCATGCCGCATACACACAGGGCGCACGGGGAAGGCCAGGCGAAAGGAGCCCCACAAGGGGTGGATTGTCGGGCCCAACACGGGCACACGAGGTTATCGTCGGGGAAGGATAGCATAGAAAGAGCATCCCCCCTTGCCTCCTGCGTTTAGTAAGAGGCAGCACCAGGAACATCGGAAAGCGGAGCGCAGAACGAAGTGCTTTCACTCTCTTTCTCCCCATTCTCTCCCCAGCCCCCTTTCCTTCACCCCCTTCCCCTTCCATCTTCACTTCAAAATCCCTCCCTCAAACTGCCTCCTTCCCCGCCTCCCCCCCTCTCACTTTCCCTTATCTCCTCCGCCCCTTCCTAATTCTTCCCCTGATTCTCCCCTCTATCGCTCCCCGTCACCCCGTGCGGCACCTGCAGGAACTTGAGCTTCGCAGCCTTCTGAATTCGCGAGGGAATGCTGTCCGGTGAGGGCTTCTGTTGAGGGGATGGGGGGGACACGGTGTGCGGGAGAGAGTGGGCGAGGGAGAGAGCGGGTGGGGAAGAGAGAGGAGCGATAGGGGTGGGAGCCCGAAGAGAGGGGGAGAAAGGGAGCCGAGAGGAGTCGAATCTGTTCTGCGAAGGACACCAGGCAGAGCACCGACAACCAACGAGCGACGAGCGACGAGCGACGAGCGACGAGCGACGAGCGACGAGCGAGCAACAGCAGCCATGCAGGCAGAGGGAAGCCTCGCCTCCTCCCCTCCCGCCCGTACACGGAGGTTCCACTTCTTCAAAACACACTCCTCTATCCACCCTCCCTTCCACCCTCGATTCCCCACACCAAGGCTTGCTACAGCGGGCAGGGGCTTGAAAGGCTCTCGCTTGAAGAACACTGGGATAGGGTCGGCGGGAGCAATTTCTGAGGCGCCTCTAACAAAAGGCGTCTCAAAGAACAAAGGGAGGAGCGCCCCCTTCGAGACGCCACAGATACAAGATCTGAGGCGCCTCGAAGGGCAGCAGCAGCGCACCTGCTTGAAGAACACAGGGATAGGGTCGGCGGGAGCGGCGGGCTGCTGTAGCCTTCGCGCTTCCATGATGTGCCGCAGATGCCGCAACACCTCGTCCTCTGGTAGGGGGGAGAGCGGGCGGGAAGGCGCGGCGCGGAAAGCGGGAGTGAGGAAAGGGGACGGGTAGCGATGCACGCATGCGGTCAGACGGGGAACGTGAAACACAGGAGGAAACGCGCGGCGGGAGCGGCGGGCGTGTTGCCTGCGCGCCGCCATGATGTGCCGCAGATGCCGCAACACCGCGTCCTCTGGATGATGTCTCCTCTTTCTTCATCTCATCCTTGCTTTCCCTATGCCTACGTCACAGCTTTTCAGCGAGCATGCAACCGGCCGTGACGCACCTAAGTTATGTTCCGCGCCGTCTGGCCCGCTAGCAGGTCCCGCAGCCGCTTCCGTCGCTGCGGCACTCGCAGACGCTAGCGCAGCCTCCATACCTCCCCCGCGCGCACCAGGCCTTCCGCCAATTCCCAGGCTATTCCTCCCCGTCAGCTTGTCGGAACCGCCCGCGTGGGGGGAACTTCTTCCTCCGCGCCCCTTAATTCCCGCGAGTCCTCCGCGGTCGGCAGCTGCGCTTGCGGCGGTGCTTCTGCTGTTGTCCTCCTCGACGTATCGGCGCAACGCCTGCACCCACGCGAGACCGCTCTGCTTCGCGGCCTCCGGGATCTCCGGTCGCGATGCGCCGACGACTGCAGCCATGGCGGGACGGCGGGTGGCTCGGACTGCGAGGACGGAAGCCGGTCTAGACTGACGGAGCTACACGAAATCGAGTTCAAACTGACGGAGCTACACGGACGCTACTTAACGTGAAGAGCAAAAGCAGGTTTAGGCTAACGATTAAATCTGGAAGGGCTAGACGGAAAGCGGTTCGGCTCGCGAAGCTTTTACCAAAGCTACGAGGAAACTGGCTCAATTAGACGGCGCTGTAAGGAAACTGGCACTAGAGTCTGTAAAACAACCAGCAGGTATCGGAAGACTGCAATGATATGCGTTGCTATGTGACGTAGTCGTTGCTATGCAGAACAGGCGTTGCTATATAAACACAGAATAGTTGTGAAACCTCGGGAACGACGCGTATGGGATATGTTCTAACAACGACGTCTGCAGCCGTGAACTATGTGCATAGATTAGCTTTGAGGTACGGAAGTATTCGAACGGAAACTAAATGTCACCCAGCTACTGGAACGGTATGAAAGCTCGTGCGCAATGGAGCCATCTGGTACTCGCTACAGAAAATCGTTTTGAGTTAGTAGATATTATCAATCTTCCAAAACAAAAATCGTCGGTTTATCAGGTCCGGTCCAATTTGTCTCGCAATACTTCGCTGCAAAGCCACCTTGACGACGACGAACAAAAGGCAGCCAGACACAACGGCAAGGAGAGAAATCTATTCGGATGGCAGGGAAAGACTAGAGCTGACTAGAAAGTTGAGTCACTGGGAGAGGATGTGTTGTGCCGTTTTGGAGTGGATGTAGGGTGAATCGTTGGTGGTGTTCTCGGGGTGAGCGGGTCACGGCGGAGGAAGAGGATGAATGTTGTCAGCTCCGCGGAGGGGGGCGGAAAGGGATCGGGGGAAGGTGTGTGCCTCGAGGGAATTGGGGGAGTATGCTAGGACAACTGCACTGATATCGTGCGCGCATATAAATTCCACCCCTATGGGGAGTCGGGGGATCCTAGCGGTGGAAGGTCTTTGGGGGAACGGCGGTTGCCTTGGGAGTGGCGCATGGTGCTTTCGGGATGGCGGAAAGACCCCCACTCACACCCGATGTGTGCAGCGCATGTGTGATGGTCCACGTTCTGGTTTGGCCTCATGTGGTGTTTTGTCACGGATGTTGAATGAGGGAGGGGGGGCGATGCGGGAGCCGAGATTTGCGCAGCGCCTTGGTAAAAGTTGAGAGCTGGCACTGGGGGCCGACTGACAGAAATCGAAGCGCCGGCCGACACAATAATACAACGGTCTTGTACACTAGAAAATGTGGAACTTCATTTCTCATTCATTATAAATATCATGATTCAAAAACTCAGCCTTATAAAAAAAACCATTTCTCTTGTTAGGTAAACATGGTTATAATTTATACAAATTTTTCTTTTAAACATATTGGGAGGTGTTTCCAGTCTTCCACATATATAGTTCAAAAATAATTCTTATGAATCTATCAAAATTCAGCATATACTTCCTCTTTTGTTATTTTTCATTTTTTAAACTACTTAATTTGATTACCGTGGTTCGTTCTTTACAAATTGACCAGACCTTTATTTGCCTTTTGCATTACTGAGAAGTACATACTTACTGGTTAGCATGTACACTCTGCATATATGATATCTCGCCCCAAGGTTACCCGACAAAACCTTATTGACGAGGATGTCGGCAGTCACAAATCGTACAGCTCACGACGAGCACGACTCTACGTACTTCCGATTCGTGGCCAATCAGCTCCTTTCGCAAAGCCGCCAATCAAAGAAACAAACGACCGCCCGAAACCAAAATCTCCAATTTCTTCGCCGCGTCGCCAGCGTCTCGTCGTGGACCAGGGTAAATCGCGAGCGTGGGTTTGGCGCGCGCAATGTCGTTGTGGAGGCCGATTGAAAATGTTGCGTTGCGCGTGACCCATTGGGCGGTGACTGTTTTGAAGCATGGATTGACTGAATACATGATGGACCGAATTCTTCCCATCCCAGCCATGGTCAGGCCACGGTCGAGGAACCTCCCCCTGCTCCTGCTCCTGCTTTCAACACAAAAAGCTCACGCGAAGTTCGTCAAATATTCTTGTCACGGAGCCTCACACATCTACGGCATCCAGTGACGAGTTGATTTAGCCCTTTGATATTTTACCTTTCCCATCTTCCGCGATCCATAAATTAGGTCTCCAATTCGCCCTCACGCACACAGCTCGCAGCTATGGCGGCCAACGGATTCCGCGCGTTCGTCAGTGTCGTTGCTCTCCTTGTCCTCGTCGCGGCTCCACTTTCCTCCGCGTTGCAAGGCAAGTACGCTCGTAGAATATAGCGTTGGGTAGATGCGTTTTTCGCGGGCGCAAGGCGTTCGGCTGGCGGCGTTGCGCCGCATGTTCCCCCGAGTGGGACTTGACCCTCCAAAAGCAATCTCACTGGGCTTCACACATCCAAACGTTTAGCCTTGATTCCCTCAACGGAAATTGGCATTCTGATTACGTTCTCCGTCATTTTTTCTTCTACCCTTCTGCCCTCTTTTCGTTCTGCAGAAGATTCGTCAGAAGCTCCCATTGAACGGCGAAACTTAGGGTAAGATAAACAATGTCCATACTGTAGCTCCGTTCCGTACGACAAAATTGATCCTTGATTGCAGCAGTTTGCACGCATTAATGTCAAGCGCACCTGATAATTGGTGCGCAAACTACGTTGAGTGTCCCTTCCTCACCCCCTCACCTTCTGCATCCTGCATCTCCCCATTTCCCTCGCAATTCCGCAGAACCGGGAAGCACCCGCGGTCCCCGCTTAAATACACCGATCGCGAGTGCATCGCGAAGCTGAACAAGGCCGGGAAGCTGGTCCAAGAAGGTGCCGTGTTCGTGAAATCCGCCAATCCCAGCGACCCCCTGCCGTCCTACTTCCCGCGCCTCGTCGCCGCTGTGCAGTCGCTGCGCAACGCCGCGTTGCTGCTCAAGAGCGAGCAGCGCTCATTGGTTCTCGTGCAGATCTCCAACGGAATGAATAACATCAACACCGTCCTCGCGTTCCTCAGGCCCCCGCCGGGATCCAAGGCGAAAATGACGGAGAGGCAGGCGACCGCGATTGACTATCTTGGAGGCGCGCTTCGGGTGGCGGATCTTGCGAGGCAGTCGTTTGTGGGGAACAAGAAGAACCAACCTGGTGGCGTCGCCTGATAAAACACATAAAAACATGAACTCATAACATTGGAGGGAGATACGGTTCTTGGTGTGAGGACCCCAGTAACTGGTTGCGTCAGAGTAGGTGGTCGAAAGCTTACGATAGTATAAGGGACAATGTAGATTTAAATACATAGTCGACCTAGATCAGGAACGGAAAGGGCACTGCGCCTAACTCCCCTGTCCTCCTGCAATAATGAAATGCATACAGAGCTGGCAAGTCGTGCATTATCAATATATTGAAATGCTTAAGATACACCTCCAACCATTGTGCTGTACAGAATCATGCGCTACTTAACCGAGCCAAAGGAGGACGTGTCCTTGACTGTTTGTGGGAGATTGACATGATATCTTTTTTTAACAATACTGGCATGGCCAGACCTCATCCTTCTTGTTGCTTTTTATCGTCCACTATCAGCTCGTTATCAGCTCGTGTGTGACACGACCAGTCCTAACCAAGTGAGTCATCTAGTCCTGGCTTAATCAGCCCGACAGGAAGGCTATGGCTAATGTACGATCACATGGAACCATTGCACATTTTTGTTTTCTTTAGACTGAGTAAAGCTTGACGTGTGTCACAATGGTGGAGGTTGGACCAATATTCCTGGACCCTCTGCAAACTGAGACTGCAGCATCTTCTTTATTTTGGGTACCGTAGCTGCTTTGGAAGATAAAATCATCCCATTCCGAGTGCCATGGTGGTTGGTGGGAGGGAATACTAAAGCAGTTTTAACTCGTTCAAACATAGCTATACCCAATCCATCACGTACCGTATCAGAAGTGGGTCTCTCGCATGGCAGCTTGAAATCTATCAGACGTGTTGGATCATGATCATGTGAAGGTAGGGGGTTCCCAAAGAAGGACTGCACCGCATGACCTGGTCGGTTAACTACCAAGGAGCCGTTGGGGAAGGGAGGGCGGGCAAATAAAGAACGACTAGAGCAGGGGTGTGTGTGTGTGTGTGCATGTGTGTGTGTGGCGCACGCGCGTGTTTGTGCTTGTGTGGTGTCTGTGTGTGTGTCATCAAATTAGTGTTTATGTTTTGGCTTCTCTTTGCATTAGGCGTTAGGTTATATTTTGCAGTCGTTGATTTCGCTCAATATCGTAGACTACGTGAATATCGCCACGATGTTTCCGCCTCCACAGCAATGCTGCAGTACGGTGATTGAAAGCCCAATCAGATGGGTTCCTAGCCTCCAGCGGTGCACTGTGATCTGTCTGGCAACAACAGTTGCCGCTGATTGTGGCAGAATCAGATAGTATCACTGCTGCTGGTCGATACAAACAGTTTTGCCTTTTGTCCTTGCTCCACGTCAGCATTTCTGACAAGAAGGTACACAAGCGGGAGTGTGGCGGCGGGCCAGGATGAGGTTATCGCACAGACAGCAATCACTTGCTTGCAGGATCTCTTTGTGGTAAACTTCAGCGTCCACGTCATGATGTGTGGCGCAGCCGTGGAAAGTTACTGCCAGGTTCCACCTTTCGACCTGCCAATCCCGTGCTTAGCCGCCAGAAAAGCTGGAATCTGTGGCTTGGGTGGTCCCAAAAGTGGCCCACTTTCCCGCCGAGTCTGTTGGCACTTGGCCCACTGCACGTCAACATCAGGGATATCTTGTCGTTCCACCTCATCCTCCAGATCCGCGCTGCGCCTTTTCTTTCCTGCCAGGTCATTGCACTGTGGCGGTCCGATCAAAAGCGCGTCGCGTTCCGCCCGTTCGATGTCACGGCGGGGGTTTGATCAGGGATTGTCGCCAAATGGATACACATAGGGACTGCAGTGCCCCGCTGGCTGATATTCCAAGGTTCCCCGATCCATCCATGATCCTCTCTGCTCCATCACAAACTATTCTGTCCCGCTTTGTTCCTTTCTCGTCTCGAAGTTCCCGTTCCGACCGAGTCTGCCTCAGCGGCAAGCAGCAAGCCGAAAACAGCAAAAAGCAAACACCGAACCGCAACGCAAACAGCACAGCACAGCGCAACACCACAGCACAGCAACCTCATCAATCTGGCCAGCTCATCTTTCCTCGAGGTTCCGCGATGCCTCCGAGCCAAGGGTAATCTGCAAACATCGAGATAATCCTCCTCGCAGCTCAAGCCTGACCTGAGAGCCCAGAAGAACGTGTAGCGGTGGTTTTGCTCCTCAAGCAGACACCGCAACAGCACCCAACCCAAACCAACGCAACCTGGCACTTGCCTTGTTGTTCAACCCGACAGCAACTGAGCTTCGCATCTCATTTCCGTCTCTGCAACAGCATTCAAGAGGACCAATACTTCGACAGCGAAGCCCGACGGTCACAGAACGTGAGCGTGTGGAATCCTGGTCTCGCAAACCTTGTGACAACGTACAATCCATGTAGTACGCGTGCGTGTAGTACAAGCAAACGAAGACTCCTGCATCCACTGCACCCAGCGGCATTCACTGAACACAGCTTCAAGTTGCTGAGGTCTGCGGCATAGCTTCGTCTTCCGAGTCGCTTCGCACCCCTCCCCCCCGGTCTCCATCCTCCGCGTCGCCCCCCACAATCAGTATCCCGCTGAACGCGGGACGATAAACTCAGCGACTGCGATGGAATCCATAGATGACGTAAACCTTTCCGCCGTGCGATCTCGACCGCCATCGGTGCGAGTGAGGCTGAACCAGCCGTCTTACACGGCCGGCGAAGCCGTCATTCTCACGGTGCACATCGAGAACCGATCCGCGCATCACGCGGGTGGTCGCCAGAGAGATTACAGTCCGCAGAGCCAGCTGCAGTATCAGCGCGGAAGTGACTATGGCGCTGACGGAACGGTTCAGCTGGAGAGCCTGAGCGTTGAAGTGAAAGGTGTCATCCGATCCGCATCGGCGCCACGCGCGGATACAACGTGGTCCTGTGCTGGTAAGGACGAATCGCTTCGTCACTCTGTGGAGCTGATCTCCCCGCTCTTTCTCGACATTAGCTTCTAGTTCTCGAGCTCGTCACAGCCTCCCCAAAAAGCAGACTCGTTTCTCCATCGGAACGTTACCGGAAATGCAATCGCCGGAATCTGCGCCGTTCTGTTCGTGCCACAACAGCTCGACGGAGTTACGACTACCACGAGTGTTTCTGCTCGTGATCGGCTTTCCGGCCGTCCTCACTCCATTCCCTGCTACCATTCCCGGCTTTTCGTGCCTCCGTTGTGTTCTACTAACCCTTCCTTACAGGCGACCAGCCGTGCCTCGTGGCTCGTCCTCTCCGTCTCGCCATCCACGCGCCGCTCGATCCGGGCTGCTCCAAGTGCTGTAAGCCGCTCGCTCTGCGCTTCCCACCCCCGCCCTCTCTCTTGTTCCCCTCCCTCTTCCCCCCTCCCAACGCCGCACCCCACTCCCACCCTGATCATTTCGTCCCTGATACAAGTACGCGTGGCCTTTCAGTCTCTCGTTAGATACTCCTCTCACCCTCTTACCCTCTCACCCTCTCACCCTCACCCTCCTCAATCTCATTGCTGCTACAGTCACTCTTTCTCCCAGTTCTTTTACATCTTTGCCATTCCTCGTACTCACCCTCCCCCTTCCCATCTCCATCTGCTTCCGGAATCCCCTCGTCCTCTCCCCCGCCCGCCCAGACACCATCGAGATTCCCCTGCCAATCAACGCGCTCCCGTCGGGTCGCATGCCCGGGAGCGACTCGCTCGCGCTCCCCCTCTCCCTCCCCCTCGACGACGCGCGCGACCCCCCCGCGCCTGAACCCGCTTCCCCCGCCGCCGTGCTCTACCTCGTGTCCGTTTCCGCCGACTGGCGCGGAATCTCCGTGCCCTTCTCCCCCTCCGTCACCTCCGCCGCCGCCGCCGCCGCCGCCGCCCGCCCCGTGGTATGCGCACGGGAGTAGTGATAGGGAGAGGCTGGGGACAGGAACGGGTGTGTGTTGCGGGGATGGTGGTAGTAAGGAGAATGGAGAATGTGCAGTGGGAGGGCGTGGTGTGCGTTGCTCGTGACCGTACCTTGTCTCGCCCCGATTTCTCCCGACACTTGCTTGACCCCAGTCCTCTTCCTCGCCCTCGTTTGCTCTCCTTGAGTCCCTATCTCTCATTCTCCACTTCCCTTCACTTGTCGGCGTGTTTCTTTCTGCTCGTCCCATCCGTGTTTCCCATCCGTCTTTCTGCACAGGAGCTCCTTGCGTGGTTCAAGGTAAAAGCCGACCCTGGTACCAGCCACGGCCCAGCACCGCCAAACGCGGCGTTCAACCCCGGTGAGTCGCTGCTCCGCCGCCGCCGCCGCCGCCGCCGCCGCTGCTGCTGCTGCCGCTACCATACTCGTTCTCTCTGATACAAGCCACGTTCCTCCTCTTTCACTCCCCGTGATCAAGCCACTCTCCCTTCCGACCCCTGAACTGGCCTCCGACTTATTCCCATTCTCTCGTCCTCTCTCCTTCTCCCCTTCCCCTTGCCATCCCCCTTCCCGCCAGCCTGTCCGCCTTGCGTTCGCCTGTCCGCGCACGAGAGTACATCCGGCGGTCCCCCCGCCGCGCTTGCGCCCGCGCTCTCCGCCGCCACCGCGCTGGCCTCCCCGAGCTGCCGGGTGAGTCGCGGAAGGAATAGTGGCTTCGCAACGGGCGCGGGGGGAGCTGGAGTTGAACGGGTGTGGGGAAGGGGAGGGAGACGGGTGGGGCTGTGTGAAAGGTGACTCGTGAGAAATGTAATCTGCTTGTTGGAATTTGCTTCTTGGTCTCTCCCTTTTCTTTTCGTTCCCCCTTGCCCTTCGTCTCCCCTCGTGTTTCCTCTCCTCATCTTCGTTTTCCTCCGCAAATGCTATGTGCCCCTCCCCGTCCGCCCCTCCCTTTGCGCTCCGCCCCTTTACCCCCGTCGCGCAGTCCCCGTTCCGCCCTCCGCATCTCACCACCCCCATCGCCTCCGCCTTCCCCCGGGGCTCCTCCCTTCCGCCCACGCCCACGCCCGCAACCCCCTCCCCCGCCTCCAACACCCCGCAATCCCGCCGCCTGCTTCCCCACCTGTCCGTTCCGCGCGAGAGCACGCATGCGCCCTCCCTCGCGCCGCCCTGCCCTGATGACGTGGAGGCTGTGAGCGTCGCGGCTGTGCTGCCGTGTGACGTCAGCAGCAGATTTGGCGCTTGCGGATGGGCGGCGCAGGGGCAAAGCAGTAACGGGTATGGCGGGAGCAGCAACGCGGAAGAGAGCTGCTTTGGGGATAAGCACGTGCGAGAAGCAGAAGCAGACGAAGCAGCCGCTGCAGCATCAGCATCTGCATCGGCAGTTGGAGCAGGAGTGACGGCGCAAATGCTGGCTACGTACGGCTTTCCCAAGGGATATACTGCGGCGGCGGCGGCGGCGGCGGCGGCGCACGCAGTGCATGGGCTGGCGCACGTTCCGGAAGGCAGCATTGTCGCTCACAGCAGTGGCAGCGGCAGCAGCAACAGCAGCGTGTGGGGCGGCAGCAGCTGCGGCAGCCGCGGGAGCATCGGCAGCTGCAGCAGCAGCATCAGGAGGCGGAGCGACGAGGGGTCCACCATTTCCGCCGCCGCCGCAATCGCTGCTGCGAGCGCGGGGGGCTTGGGCGGGAGGGGATGGTGCGGTCGTCAACAACAGGGCAGGTGGCGGAATGGGGCGGGGGGAACGCGGGAGGCGAGCTTGTGGGGATCGCGGAAGCGGTTGCAGGACTGGCAGCAGCGGGATCAGCGGGATTCGCGGGATCCGCGGGGTTTATGGCAGGGGGAGGAGCGCGCGTTATGAGGAGGAGCTGTAGTGACGATGATGGCATGCGCGGGCATGCGCGCAGTAGCAAGGGGGGACCCCTGTGGGGAAGCGCGGGCAGCGCGGAGGAGCGGGGGGCGGGGGAGGCGCTGGAGGCGGAAGGGGAAAACGCCTACAGCTGTAGCAGCAGCAGTGGTAGCAGTGCGGGATGGGATCCGGAGAGTGGTGTGGAGGAGAGCAGTGGGAATGGTCTCAGAACGATGTCTCTGCCCGCGGCAAGAAGGCTCCCTTCCGTTCCTGTGGAAGGTAAGAGTGTGTGGGAGAGGAGAGCGGGAGAACAGGGGTACATGGGTCGAGGGAAAGAGAGAGAGAGAGAGAGGAAAGGTGCATGAGCTTTCATTTTCTCCCTGTCGTCCCTCTCATCCCTCTCATCCCTCATGTCACCCGTGTTTCCTCTCGTACTTTCTCATCCCTCTCGTCCCTATCGTCCTTTCTCAATCCTCTCGCACCTCTCATTCCTCGTGTGTCCTCTTGTGAATGCAGGCCTATTGGCTCCAGAGCACGAGCAGGAGTTCCCAAGGGAGCTACTGCAGCAGCAGGCCCCCCACACCGGGACTCTACCACCCCATGCGCCTCACTCCCCCCGCGCTCCCCACACCCACCACGCCGACGGCGCCGATTATGGCAACCATGCCAGTTTTAGCAACCTCGCCCACCACGCGCTCTACCCTGCGTGTCGCGGCCCCGACTGCCAGCACACTTCGTGCGACGCTATGCCTATCGGCTCACCAGCAGATTGCCTTAACTGGAAAGGTCAGCAGCATCTTTAACCCAAAACCATAAACCTTGAACTCACTGCATCATCCTGCAAAGACAAGACACGAGCTCAGGCCTTTTTTGAAATCGACGCGCTCTGTTCCCCCTCGCCTTTCTCCGTGCTGCTCTACCCATTTCAACCGCTCTCCCTCCTGTTGCATTCCCCTGACACCTCATCACATCTCCTCTTTGCCCACTTCCCCACCCATCCATCCTTCCCTCCCGATCCCTCACACAGAAAATAAAGGGCATTCCATCACAAAATGGGCAGTGCGCGCATACACTTTGAGAGAAGTCGAAATTCTCTCTCTCTCTCTCTCTCTCTCTCTCTCTCTCTCTCTCTCTCTCTCTCTCTCTCTCTCTCTCTCTCTCTCTCTCTCTCTCTCTCTCTCTGGCCCACCCCCTTTCCCTCCCCTACCGCCACGCAGAGGTGGAAGCGTTCTGTCGCAACATGGACAGCGCGCGCGTGCGCATAGAATCCATTGACATCCAGCACGAGCCACGCAAAAAGACTGCCGCTCCGCTTGCTGTGCAAGGCTCAGCCAAGGCAGGCTTCCAAAGCAAGGCCATGCACGGAGGGGATGGGGAGGGGAAGGGGCAGGGGGAGCAGGACCAGGGGCAGGAGGAGCAGGAGAATGGGAAGCGGAGGGAGAGGGAGGAGGTGGGGGGGATGGAGGCGTGCAGCCGAGTGCTGTTTGCAGTGAAGTTCCAAGGCATGTCGCTGTGGCATTACCCCGCTGCTGACAGTGTGAAGCCTCTGTTCCGCATGGCTTCGTGATTCTTGACACTCATTTATAGGAGAAGGTGATGGAAATGGTGGATAGGGGGAGGGGTTACGACCATAGGGGGGGGGAGGGGGGGGGGGTAGTGGGGGGGAGGAGGGGGGTGAGGGGGATGGGGATGGGGATGTGTTAGACAAGGTGGGATTTTGTGGGCGTGGTTGGAGAATGTGGGCGGGGGTAGAGTTGCACAACAGATGTTTACACGGATAGCAGCTTTTAGACTTTTATTCTTTATTGATTATCTTCATTTTTTTTAGTGGGCTAGAGTACACGGCATATGGATGCAGCACCTCCTTTTATTGGTAGCTGTTTTACCGGTATTCATGTGGCCTGCTAGTCACATGGAAGGAGCACCACAATCATGCTTTAGGGAGAAAAGAACTGCTTGCTGCTAAGATTTGTATGGTAACAGAAAGGAATTGATGATCAGTATCAGGTGAACAAGCAACTAGAGCAGCAGATGACCCAAATTGGAATGAAAATATTGGTATGATGCACGGCACGGGCCAGTGCGCCTAGCATGACTTCTAAAGCAGCTGATGTTACCATGTACGCCATGTGCACAATGCAATTGTAGGGCTACAAGCAAAAGTGCAGACACCATGCTGTGCAGTTACCCAGCTGTATAAGTGGCCTGATCTTCATATGGTATTTGTGGGTTTTTTGGTTGAGTTGAGAAGCATTGCGGTGACACTTTGTGACAGCAGAGAATTGAGCATTAGCACATGCACAAGCAAATAATGTATGTCACCTAAGTGGTGTGACAAAAATAGGTGTACTGCACTGTACGTATACTGCTGATCAGAAGCCATCCTGATCCACGTCAAGGGCGAACGCGCCTATCTTGACTTCAAAAGCAGCTGATGTTGCAACGTCCACCATCTCAAACTCGCCCTCCTGTAAGCAAGAAATCAAGGAAGCAAGCAAGCAAACAACGCCACACACAAGTTATCCACAGCACTATCAGCACACCAAGTGAGCAACGTCCATTCATTTCAGCATGAGACAGGTATGGTGCATGTGCACAGGTGTGTGAAAACACGTGTAGAAAAACGGTAAAGCCAATTATGGAACCCGGGCATGCGGAGGCAGCAGGGAGAGGCGGCAGCGGCGGGAAGCGGTGGGGGCTGTGGGGGTGGTGGTGGTGGTGGCGGCGGCGGCGGCAGCGGCTGTGGTGGTGTTGGTGTGGGGGGTTGGTGGGTGGTGGTGGGGAAGGGTGGTTACCATGGCTCCCTTGCGCGTGTCTAGAGGGCAGACAGACGTGTACTCGAATGATGCCCCTGGTGGCAGCACTGGCTGCTGCCCCACCACTCCAGACCCCCTGTTGTGGCGCCACAACAGGGGAGCAGGGGGCAGGGGAGGGGAGGGCAGGGGAGGGGAGAAGATAGGTAGAAAGGAGCGCAGAGTGAAGCAGAGGGAGGGAATGGTATATTGCAGCAGAGGTAGATTGCAGCAGAGTTTGAGAAAACGGGTAGGTAGGGAAGAGGAGGGAGGTGCGGGCAGGGTGTGAATGGTATATGGGATGGGAGACTAAAGGGTGACAGCAGAGAGGGCTTTTTATGCAGTGGGTGAATGGTATGGTATGGGTGTGGAATATGATTTAACAAAAGATGTGTTCTCACAACTCTGAAGAGAATCAATTGAAAGGATCTTACATGACCTGCTCCCAGCTCTCCCAGCACGTTGAATCCGACTCACCATCCTCCACTCTCCCTCATGACGTGCCCGCACCCACCTGACGTGCTCTCCACGCGCCCACCTTGCTGTTGGTAACCAGCTAGTGCCGGCTGACAAAGGGCAGCAAGGTTTCCTTCCTCCGCCCACCTCCGCCCCCCTCCGCCCCCCTCCGCCCCCTTCCCCATCCCCCCCTCGCCCTCTTGATGCACCCACACCCCCCTGACGTGCTCCACGCGTCCCCTGCCGTTGGGGATGAGACATTGGCGGCTGATGAGATGCCACCTGATGTGCCGTCCTGCTTGTTTGTAAGACGTCCTGCCACCGCTCCGAACACATAACCGTTTGCCTTGCCACTCCCGCTAATTCCCCCTAGCTCCCACCTGACGTGCTCCACGCGCCCACCTTGCCGTTGGTGATGGGCCAGTGGCGGCTGATGAGAGCCGTAGGTGAACCGCCCTCCGTTGGTGAATACAGGAGAGGTGCAGATGCAGCTCTCATACAGGACATGCTCAGATGCTACGAAGATGAACCTGACACGTTGTATTCACCTGACATGCTCCACGCGCCCCTTGCCGTTGGTGATGAGCCAGTGGCGGCTGACGAGAGCTGTTGGTGCATCCCATTCCAGTGGCGGCTGACATAGAGAAGTGCACCCACTCCTTCCCCACACACACACTCATGCCAACCTGACGTGCTCCACGCGCCCCTTGCCGTTGGTGATGAGCCAGTGGCGGCTGACGAGGCGCACGACGCGGGATCCCTCGTTGGTGATGCGCACGCGGTACGCAAAGAAGAAGTGCGAGCGGTCGGGGTCGCTGCGATGCCGCACGTATACACTGCGCACGACCACACGCACTCCCTGGCAAGGGAGAGGGAGGGATCAGGGAGGGAGGAGGAAGGGCGGAGGGCGGGGGAGCGTGGGGAGGGATAAGAGGATGAGGATAGGGGGAGGGTGACGCGTGTGCGATGCTGCACGTACACACCGTGCATCACGCGTGCATCACCACGTCACACGCACTCCATTGGGAGGGAAACGGGAGGGTGGGAGTGTGGGAGAGGGATAATGGGATTGGAGGGACATATACACTGTCCACCAAAGTTCGCACTTGTGGGAAAATCTTTGAATGCGAGATGTTTTTATTATAGAACATCTGAGGCTTTTATATGCTTGAGGAGCCTAGAAAAAGACTCGCACTTTTTGGGAGATTGGGGAGTGATGGGAAGGGGTCTACTTTTAAGGCGCCTCAGAAGAAGTTCCACGCAAATTTTGTGGAGAAGCATGGGAAAACGGACCCCAGAGGGAGTGTCAATCCCGGTGCAGACAGAAGTCGAAGTGGGGACTGATAGAAAGTGAAGGCGGAGAGGCATGGGGAAGTGGAAGCTTTCCCGCCTCAGTGGGAAAGCGGAGAAGCATGGGCAAGCGCACCTCGGTGAGAGTGCACTTTTGAGGCGCCTCAAAAGTCTTCCCCACCTCAGTTCAGTGGGAAGACGGTGAAGCATGGGAAAACGCACCTCGGTGAGAGTGTCGCTGGTGCAGGAGGAAGCGGGGAGGGCGGGCGGGGGAGGCGGGGGAGGCGGGGGCGGGGCGATCCGCGCAAGCTCCTCCTTGAGCGCCGCCGCCTCCTGGTGGCGCGCGGGGAGCCACGCACACGGGAGGCGATGGGCGCGCGGACAGGCGCGCACGGGAAGAGGGAACATTAGGGGGAAAACCGACGAGCTGAATAAGAGGGACTTTTTGGAGGTTACGCAGGTGTAAGAGGGGAAACGAGAGAACAGATTGAAGGGCGGAGAGGAAAGGACGGGTGAATGAAAGCTGAGTGAAGAGAATGGAAGTGCGGCATTGGGGCACTAGATGGTTGAATATTGATGGCACACCTTGGCTCTTCCCGTCTGCTCTAATTCCGTTTCCTAGCGATCCATCTACCCTCCACCCGCCGCTACCGTTTCGTACAGCTACTCCTTACTCTAGGTGTGTCTGTGTGTGTGTGTGTGCGCGCGCGTGTTTCTCACGCGATTCATCCGCATTTTGACCGGTTATATCGAATCCCGTGTTAGATCAAATCTCATATTATATCGGGTCTCACCTTGTACCGCTCTCCGGCGATCGCGGCTTCCAGCTGCTGTTGCAGTCGCCGCACCGGATCCCGCGCTTTCACCTCCCGAATCGCGTCCCTCAAACGAGCTGCTTCGCGGTAATTCTGCCGGTAGTATGAGACGAAGCGCCGGAAAACCGGGAGATGGGGAGTCGGGGAGAGACCAGGATAAACGAGGGGGAGAACGAGGCGGACCGCGGAAAGATAACGCGAGGCTTGAGAACGATCGGGACGGAACGGAAGAACAAACAACAAGATGCTCGTGAGTGTGATTCGCGTGATGCAAGTGATCTCACCTCCTCCGCAGTCGCGTCTTTAAGCTGTTGCTCCAAGACCGCGAGAATCTCCTCTAACTGCTGCTGTTCCTCTCGTTGTTGCGCCTCACTCGCCGCGGATCCCGCTTCTCGACCGCTGATCTCACTCCTGCTCGACACGCCACCACTACCGACGTTGCTGCTGCTGCTGCTGTTGATTCCAAACTCTCCTGCTCCCGTGCTCCCGCTGCTACTATCGCCGCTGCTGCTGCTAACTCCCGCATTTTCCATTTCCCCTCCACCGGCCCCCCCTTCTGCTGCAGCCGCTGCTGTAACAGTAACGCGGGAGAGCTGGTTACCACCACGTCGCCATCGCGGAAGGCGATTTCTCGAGTGAGAGGCGGCAGGGGGAGTGATTGCATTGGAGCCTCTTGGAAGAAGGCGCAAGCCGTTGAAATCTGACTGAGCGATGCTAAGAGTCGCAGCGCAAGGCGCAGCGGAAGAGACACCCAATGCCTGCATACGTGGGTTACAGGAGACACCAGCACCTAAGAATGGAGGAGTGTGAAGAGAGGTAGTCGCGGAATATGAGGGGAAGAATGATGGTGACGTCACATGTAGAGCTACCGGTGACAGGGACGACGCGACGGGACCTCTGAGGATTGCTGGCCGACACGACACCTCCATTGGTAGGTTCCTGGTACTCTGGGTGGTTGTGTCGTGCTTGGTGAATGGACTCTGGGTGGTTGTGTATTAGGGAAGGATGGAAGAACAGGAGAGTCCAAGGAGAGGATGTCCAAGATTGCAAGGTCGGGTCTTGCGGGCCGGTTGTCAACTGATGGTGGTGGAGATTAGTAATAACTAGGCTATTTTAGGACTGCGTGCAATACCAGAGGAATAAGATTTGAGCGCGGAATATGCTCCATGCACCCTCCATATGCTACAACTTGGCATGAACAAACGTTTGGGACAAATTCCATGTTCGATAGTTAAACGCAGGACAATATTATCCCATAATATAGTCAGAATGCATGCTGTTTAACTAAATTCCGAACGGCAAGCCTGTTGGAACGCCATGGAGTTATGCTTTCAGGACTGGGTGCGATGGAACAATCGCTGATCCGAATTCGGCTATCCCAGGATACACGTCTACACCTTTTACAAAGGATAATTCAGTATTTTCCTACTGGATCTTTGGGTGTGAACTAGGGTTATTGTCACGTCACGACTGTGACACTTCTGTTGGCAGTTCACAAGGGCAGCCCTGATGGGGTTCCCGTGGAGACCTTACGTTCGTCCACGTGGTACTTAATTTCATCTCCACCATCCGATCAAGGAAGCACCAAGCAACTAGGAGATTGCCTCTACGGTTCATGGACCTTGACGACGGAAGCAGGAAGAGGTGGGTGTTGAGAGTTTTGCGAAAGCAGCATGGCCACGGCTGAGAGGTACATGGATTCTCGTTATAGAAATTATGTTATTTCTGTTATTCTTCTAATATCGTTCTGCAAGCATAAAGCAATCAAGAGCATAACCATAGAGACTCGATAGGAGCAGCACCGGAAATTAGTAGAAGTTCCCTCAACTCACAATTGCTATCAGAACCAGAAACCCTTCAGCAACTGTTTGCGCTTTGTCGTCACCATGAATCACAAGTAGTTTCGAGGAAGGCCACATGACGGTGCTACAGTGAAGTCAGCTTCGACTGCTTGAAGTGTACAGTACCACACCGTTCATCACACCCCCACAAGCAAACCAATGCTTGACTCAGCTGTACTGTACACGCTGGGTTTCACTTCACAAACTCTTGGGAGCGTTTCCGCTATTACGACACGAGGCGGCCTGGTGGCCATAGTTGAGTGGGGAAAACGAGGGTAAGTAGCTTTGGCAGGGGTACTACTAGCGACCCTGCACTTTGAAGGGGACTACAGTGCCAGTAGCGGGCACTTTCCACCCATCCGTGCCTCAGACAGGAAAGTTATGGAAACAAGACAGTAATCTTCACCACATTCACCCACGTGTCACCATAATCCTAATCGAATTCACACTCTGGGTGGTTGGCTGCCACACTGTTCCGCAATCTGATATGCTATTGTTTCGCGCCCTAAATTTCGGAACACAGGCCCCATCAGCAGGCAGTGCAATGAATCAGCGGGCAAGTAAAAAAAATAAACCCCACATAGAAGGCATGCAATTCGGGAGCCTCAACCCTTAAATTTTAGGGTTGAGGCTCCCGAATGGCATGCAGTCTGACTGGGGTTTATATTTTTCAATTCGGGAGGCATCAACTCTAAAATTTTAGGGTTGAGGCTCCCGAATGTCATGCAGTCCGACTGGGGTTTATATTTTTTGTCCGCGGTCAGATTGGCCTCGATTTGGCAGAAGGGACAAAATTCAGTTGCGCACACCTGGTCAGGTTGTTCTGTACAGTAGTTGGCTTGGAAATTGGTGACACGTGGATGAATGTGGTGAAGATTACTGTCTTGTTTCCATAACTTTCCTGTCTGAGGCACGGATGGGTGGAAAGTGCCCGCTACTGGCACTGTAGTCCCCTTCGAAGCGCAGGGTCGCTAGTAGTACCCCTGCCAAAGCTACTTTCCCGGAAAACGAACTGGCATTACACGTGTTAGCAGCAACCGAGCGTGATGCCGCGTGGAGCTGGGCTTTCAGTGCTCCCGCAAATCATCTTCCTCCTACGAAGTCGTCCTGGCTACCACCAATCAGCAATTGCGAGAAAGGTAAGCCCAAGGGGAAAATGAACGAATCGCAGAGACTCTCGTAGCGATCCACGTTGCCATCCCGTGTCTCCATCCCTGCATTCTCCCTTGGCTCAAAACCCGTTTCAGCTTCCGTTAGCGTCCACCCATCCGATATTCGACGTCCAAGGGCTTAGGAGTCAGCACAGCCACCACAAAGAACTTTCGGAAAACTCGGTAATTGCCAGGTTCGTTTCTGTGTTTTGCATGATTGTGACCAGGCCGATGTCTGGTTCCCTCGCGCAACCCCTGACTAGCGACCGCATTTACGGAAACCTTCATTACTGTATTTCAGCTAGTTTAATCCGCCCTGACAAATGGAGGTTGTCTTTGCTGGAACCCAAAATTTTAGACATTTCATCCCCTAATTCCGACCGAACCACAGCCACCATGATTCAGTCGCTGGATTGTTCATCCATTTGTCGAGGGCTTGTGTGTCTGGTTGAGGGAGGGCATTCCATCCCATCCATCCAAGCCCATCGTCCACGGATCATCGCGTCCATCTTCTCTGCATGGCCGTTGCGTCACATCAACATCACCCACACATCGCACGCATCCAACAACCCTCACCGCGTCGCCTTCACCTTCCCCCACACCACACCCTGCCGTGGGGCGGAAACCAAGCCACCGATTGTCTCCACCCCCCCTAGTTCCTCAACCTGCCTTTCCCAACTTCCCTCCGCCGCGTTCACCCCACCAGCGTTTCCGAACCGAGACACCGAACCGGAACAACACTTCCCATCAACCTCCGCCGAACCTACCACATCCTTCTGCAACCTTCTTTCCTTCGTGCTGTTTACACTGTGCGCTCGGCAGCACTTGTTGCTTCGGTCGGTTGCGCGTTTCAGTTGGGTGAGGGGTCCTCCGTCGTTGCTGGGTTTGCGTGTGGTTGGGTGGAAAACCCCCATCACCTCAGCTCTCCTCTTTCACCTTTCGGCCTCTGCTTTATATTCCCTCAGTCAGTCGCTCTTTCTAGCAAAATCATCACTCAGTTGGCATTACTCCTCCAGATCTCGCACATCTCCTCTATTCGCTTTTCGACTAGTTTCTTAGATCTGCTCTAGCTCTCTACCTTCTGTGATTAAGCCTAGCTTTCGAGTTATTTGCCAATCATTATCCCATGGCCCAGGACGGGTGGAACAGGGAGCAGGGCTCTGCGGGCTGCCAGCAGTCAGACCGCGGCATTTTATGTGCGAACAACTGCGGTTTCTTCGGCAGTGCCACCACTCTGAACATGTGCTCTAAGTGTTATACAGCACATATAGCGAAAACCATGCAAACAGCAGCAACAGCCTCAGTTTCGCCCGCCTCCGCTCCTCAAGTCTCAGCAACAACCACGGCAATCCCTGAACCATCTCTCAGATCTTCTGTTCCCCAGGCAACCTCTGCTCCTCAAGCAACTTCTTCTGCCATGGAAACATCGTCTGCTACGGAAGTTCCTCTGGTTCGCACCTCGGAGAGCCGCGGAGAGTCGAGCTCGTCACCGTCTCTGGGCACACCGACTTCCACTACCTTCACATCGCTTGCTGTTCCTGGAGCAGCGCGATCTGGGTGTTCCGGAGCGGCGTCATCTGCTGCCGCTGCCGCTGCCGGCGGATCCGTCGCCTCTTCGGCTGTGTCCTCGCACTGCTCGCCTCCTCGTCCCGTTAACCGATGCGGGAAGTGCAACCGTCGCGTGGGTCTCGCCGGGTTCAAGTGTCGCTGCGACGGCGTTTTCTGTTCGGCGCATCGCTACTCGGATCGACATGAGTGCACCTTCGACTACAAGACCGCTGGCCGTGCTTTGATTGCCAAGGCAAATCCCGTCGTGAAGGCTGACAAGGTCGATCGGATCTGAACGACTTTTGGATATTCCAAAGAAGCGATGCCTCCTTGTGGGAGCCCTCAGCTGGTATTGGCGTATCCTTCTCCGACGAGTATTTGTCCGTGACAATATCAGGAGTCTTGAGTGCTTCAAGGTTCTGGCAACTCCATTTAGGTTTAGCAGCTCTGTGATTGTGTGAATTCCGAACATTTTCTCTTTGCCTTAGATACGTTGTGACTTCTCCCAGTGCCATGGATAAATTGATAGTATTTGGAGGCAAAATAAGGATGGTCAATGGTGGAATACAAGCCAAAATCAGGATGACAATGGTTTGTGGTCAATGGAGACTGACTGTTTTCCAACTTGTACAAAACTTCTCTTGTGTGGTGTATCAAGCTAACGGAATAAATTTCAGTGCGAAGGCCCTGCCAAACGATACTAATAAATCACCGACAATTATTGGGTATCACCTGTCCAACACATGGCATCATCTGGAGTAACTGACAGCTCACGTCCAGACTAGTGACTCTTGCTTGCCGTGTAGTCCCCCCAGGCCATGGCTGTCATATAGCAAGTCGAATTGGTCATTTCCTTTCGCGTTTCCTGCCGAGGTTCCCTCGTACGTCGTCAAATGCTTTTCTCACTTCACTTCCAAGCCGGATTCAAGCCTGTGGGGAATCGAGCTAGCAACCTTGCCGGCATTTCCTTTGAAGAGTGTCTGCTCCGAATCGAGCCATGTCTGACATTCTTGATGACATGGTGATTGTTGGCAAGGTAACGGATGAAGAGACTACTTCTGGATCTATTTCTCCGCCATTACCGCAACGGCAGCAGGCGCAGGCGCCGCGCGCCGGGGAACCGGCGGAGGTCTTGGAAGGAACTCTAGACGAGGAATTCGAAACCGTGTCGATTAACGACGAGAGTGGTCACCGTCGCGACGACGACGGCGATGGCGACGACGAGCGCGACGAGCCGGCGACGAATGCGACGACCGACGACAGGTCGCCAGCTGCGGCAGCAGCGGCGGCGGAGGCCATCGCAGCGGCTACCGCGTCGTCGGCTGCTGCTGCTGCGGCCGCAGCGGTGGCTGAAGGGGAGAGGACGAGTCTCATTGCGCCAGAGTATCCAATGGTAAGCTGATGGTCGTTTTTAAGAATTCCAAGAAGCGCCAGTGTATCCCCTGGTAATCTGACGTAATTCTGACGTCAATCTGACGTAAATTTGGCGTATATCATTGTCGTGAGGCGGAACCTGAGCTTGGAAACCCTTACCCATGATTATGGCATGTGAACATCATGCTGACTGAAAATGTTCCCCATCAGCAGCATTGACCTCCAGTGGTCCCTTGCCTGACTTATGCTCTGCTGTTCTCTTCCGTCCGTTCCTCCTGTCAATCATCGACAACGACTCCTCGTCATTATCCGTTTTCTCAACACATTTCCGCCCGCGTCCTCTCCGTCCTCCCCCTCGCGCACGTCACTCCTTATCCTTCTTGTCATCCCGTCCCTCCTCTCTCCTCCTGTATCTCCTTCTCTACCCCATGCTACACCCTTCCTCGTCCCCTTGCTTCTCCCCTCCCTCCGTACTGCTGTCCTGTTCATCCACGGTACTGCATCACCAGCAGTGACAACGTATCCGTTTCCGCCCCCTTCTCTCCGCCCTCCCCATTGTCAAGCAGTCCAAGACCGGCATTAACGAAACAAACAACCCAGAGCCGCTTCTCCTTCTTAACCTGGTTGTCATTCAAGCATCATTTGACCCTTTCTTCTCCCTTCCTAAAAAATCATAACTACCATTGTCATCACGACCACATCACGAGCAGTTGAATGCCATCCGAGTTTTTTCCCTTTCTTTCTCCGTACCATTTTGCCGTCTCCTCACCCCCCCTCTCCCCCCCCCCTCCTCCACCACCACCGACCACAACTGGCATTAGCACCACCAGCAGGCACAGATTCATCTGTTACCTCTCCCATCTCGCCTTTCCGCGCTTCCCTCCTCTCTCGCCATCCCCGCTCTTCCCTCTCCCTTTCCAGTCTTCCCTCTCCCCTCTCGCCTTCCCCGCTCCTCCCTCTCCCCTTCCCGCTCTTCCCTCTCCCCTCGCCCCCCCACATCCCCTGGCAGACCATCAGCGTTGTCAATCCATCTGCGACCTCTCCCCTCTCGCCTCACCCCTCTTCCCCTCCCCCCCCCCCCAAACACACCTCTCCACAGACCATGAGCGGCATCGACATAACGAGGAGCCTGGAGGACGTGGCAGGGGACGGCAGAGACGGGGAGTCAGACGACCACGTGGTGCGGCTCAAGTTCAAAGACGACAACCGCACGCGCGACTGGGAAGGCGGGCTGTGCCAGTGCTGGTACCACGACACACTGCCTCTCTGTGCCATCACCGCCGTCCTCCCCTGTATCACGTTCGCGAGAATTGTGAATCGCGCCCGGCTAGGCGACGGGGTTAGGGCCGGCGTGCAGTTCCTGGTGCTGTTTCTTCTCGTGGGGTTTGTGACGTTCTTCTTTCAGATTTTCGGGGGCGGGTGGCGGGATGCGGAAGGGAAGCTGCAGATTTCTGGCTGGGCGCTGTTCCTGCAGAGCGTGGTGATGTGGGGTGCGATCATCGGGTTTTCCTTCTGGCTCGGGAAGTGGCGCGCAGACGTTCGGCGGAGGCTCGGGATCCGAGGTTCGGACGCAGAGGATTTCTGCGTGATGTTCTGCTGTACCAGCTGCTCTCTGTGTCAGCAATCCCGTACTATAGATGCTGCCATGGCTTCTGGCTTGAGTGGAAGTGGAGGAGGGGTGAGAGGCGAGGCCATTGGGGGTGGGGATGAGGAAGCAGGGGCAGCAGGGGGGGCATGGGAAGGAGGCATGCAAGGGTACGATGGGGGAGGGTCATGGGGAGGCCATGGGGTATGGGAGAAGGTTAGGAATTGGAGTGGGGGCAATGGCGGGTGGAGAGGGGGAGGATGGGGTAGCATGGTTACGGGGAGCGAGAGGGTTGGGAGTGGTGCAGGGAGCAGTGGAAGAGGAGCAGGGGAGGTGGAGATGGGGGAGGGAGAGGAGGAGATGAAGACGGGAGGGCTGGTGCTGTTCTCTATGCCTGCCAGATGGCAACCCACCACGTCAGCATGGCACCCCACCACCACTGATGTGGAGATCTGATCACGAATCATGATCCAGAGAAATTATGGTCCTATCTTTGTGTTGTGACTCTACTGCTGCTGGTGTTAGCTAGCCCCTGCTTCCTCAAGTCAGGTTAATTCCTCTGCTGTTGTTCGTTGGAGGCGGCCCAGAAGGGTAAGTGGCGCAAGAATTAGGGGGTGGAGAGTGGTGACCGACTGGAGGTGTTATGGGGTGGGGAAAAGTGGAGAAAGGTGGTGATGTGTGATCAGGTTATGGATGAAAGTAGTGCGCATAGGGGTGTAGATAATATCTGCAGGTGTTACGTCATTTGAACAGTGCTTTACATGTTGTAGAGGGATGTTATTACGGCATTAGGGTACATTCTGCTCTTGACATGTCCCAATCGTACATGTCCCAATCGGGTGTTATTATTCCATGCACTCTAGAAATGCAGGTCGGATTTAGTGTCTTAATTGATGTTTATTTCTTTGGCAGTTCCTCTGAGAGGAGTATCCACCGTATATAATGTTAGTCTGTCCCTCCAAAGGTTTACACATGTGTTAACGTATGCACAATATGAATATCACAGGTAAAGTGATTGTTGTACAGGGCTATTATCCAAGCCATTTGCACTGCACATGCAGCTACACATAAATCAGCACACACAGAGGCTAGCTGCAGTGCACACACCAAACAAAACGCACACACCACACACTATAGTGGGTCTAGTACCATGCCAGATACAAGGCACGAGTCACACACATGACTCTGCAGCCCCAGATTTCTCCGCCGAACGGACAACCTGAGATGAGTAGCTGGGGTTCCCAAATCACACAGATAGCAACCCTACGGTGACGTTGTGAGGGAAAGAGCTGCCTCATGTGTAACACATTCTCTACAGTGGCAGCACCATCCACTGGCACGTCACCATCGAGGAAACGACCACTGATCAGTAATCAATACCCTACTCCATCCCAGTCCACCGAACTCCGCCGCAACCCACGCCACCGCAGCTGCTCCGCATCTCGCCAACTCCAGAGCCTATTATAACGCCATGCCAGGTGCCACCATCCTATCATGCATGCCACCCACACGCCTATCACACACTCTAGACTACAAATTACAATCTTAACACGCGTGCTCCCGACTCTTTCCCAGCCGGAAAGCCCACAGCAACGGATGGGAAGCTTCGGCGTAAGGGCCAGGAGAACTGCGGCGAGTACGGGTTCAGCCCAGAAAGTCGACATATCCGGAGAAAAAAGCGACGGCTAGGATGACGACTGGGGGACCGAGAACCAGCGCGCCGATCGTGGCGAAGAGCGGCGAGTCGTTCCGCTCCCCCACCTTGCTGAGCAGCGTTGCGCGCGCCAGGTTGCGCTTCTGCGCGGGCGTCCACGCGGCGAGCGGGTACGAGGCGGAGAGCACGCGCCGCCGCCCACCGATGGGGAGCGGGATGGTGGTACCGTCGGGGAGCGAGGTTGGGGAGGACATCTGCAGCTGCAGCTTCTGCGCCACCGTGAGCCGCGGAGCGGAGGCGTCTGATGGGGGATCCGGGGGAGGGATGGGGGGAGAAAGGGGGGGGGGGGGGGGGGGGGGGGGGGAAAAAAGGAAGGGGAAGGAGAGGGTAAGGAGAAAGTAAGCGGCGGTAGCAGTGGGTTGACGATGGTGGAGGGATGAGGTCTAGGGAAGGCGGATGCGTATCATAAATGCGATTTTTGGAAGACGAGTGCACAGCCAATCACTTTCAGCTGTGAGTAACCAGTTGCGGCTCAATTCCGTATTGGGCACGTATTGGGAGCGTATTGGGTTGCTTCACTGCTTTTGAGAACTCCGTGCTGTAGCCGTAGGTATAATATTTGAGTCGAAATGATAATATAAAAAAAAGAGCGGTTATCGCAGCGTACCTTCGCCCTCGGAATCTGAATTCGCAGATGCTGTCGCGCCAAGCCCTTGTGTATTGTCCGTCGCTTCTCTTGTCCATTTGCCTTCCACCGATTCAGCACGAACAAGCACCGCGCCTCGACGTCCCCGCGCGGAAGCGGAGGATGGTTGCGCGGATTCCCGGAGAGAAGGCGCGGAGAACGCTGTGTCCACGAGGGAGAGCGGACGGCCGCATGCTCCAGAGCGGAGCGGTAGAAGAGGGGTCGCGCCGGAGGAAGGAGCATCAGACGCGGCGGAGGCAGCGGGAGTGGCGGCGAGTCGCGCAGTCGGCGCTAGTGTGGGTGCAACGACGGACGCCATAACCGCACGAGGTGGGTGTCGTTACCAGTTTTCGCGAGGAGCGGTGAGGAGCGAAAGCCCTGGCGAGAACTGATAACCGTTGTATTCAACTGCAGCAAGATTCAGCAGAATGATCCGCCGCCTCCTCCTTAGCTGCTGGCCGAAGCGGACCAACAACTGCGGCACGGATGTGGAAAATCGAGTCTACGACGCGAGGACGAGGAAATGAAGAATCATCACGCAGTCTTGGCTTTTGTTTGCCAAAAGAGGTGGATGAGTGACGCGTGGGGCAGCGAGGGCAACGAGCTGGCAGGCAGCTGGTTTTTTCGCGTGGGCCGAGATGAACGAACCAGCGTCTGCTTTTGTCGGTCGAGGGCAGTTGAAAAAACACATCGGGTTCCGCTGTGCTGTGACACGACGAATAGCGATTCGGCGGATGGAATTTGCGCATCCCTATCTGCGCTGCGCCAGCGATGTGGTTCAACAAGCTGGGGGGATGCAGAGGTTGGCGGACGGAAGCGTGAACCACAACAAGGCAAGAAAGCAAGGCGAGGGAGCATGCGCGCGGAGCTGGCCAGGCAAGAAGCGGAAAGCGCAAACGTGCAAGGTCGGAGTCGGTCGGGACTCTCTGGCTGGGGGATCTTTGGAAGTTGTTGTGACAGGGGAGGTCTCCGCGGAGCAGGGTCGCGGGGAATTCATTGGTCGCGGTGCCGTTTGGTTTGGGGGGGAGTGCGCTGTGCTGACCTGGCACGTAGGGCAGCTGTGAATCTCAATGATGGCTTGATTCACTCACGGGCAGCGTTGAAGTGTGTCGGTTCACAGTATCCATTGGACAGCACGAGAGCTTGGGAGTCGAAGGTCAACAAGGTTTCACAAGGTTTGATGACGTGGCAATGAATCTCGGGGCTGATTCTGGAAAGAATTCGCTGGAACTATGTGTACTTCACATGTGTTTGGTGCACTATGTGTAAAACACGTTAGCTTAGACCTTGTCACAAGATGGTTCTCATACATAATTATCACACAAACCAATATCAGCAGAAATCGAGCTAAATACCTGTCATATACAATGAAAAACGATGCAGATAAATCTCGCGCACAACACCATACACAATAACAATGGATATATTCAAGCACTACAGTTCAGCTCCTGACCTTATCACCTCACCAACTCCACCAGTCCCTCTTCCCTGAACCCGAAGGTCTTCCCTCTCTGAAAGCAGGTCTCCACCTTGCAGGGCCAGTCCCTATCTCATTTCCTAATCCCGACTGCCCCTCACCCATCATTCTTCCACTATCCTTCCTAGCGGAACCAGACGTTCCATTCCCAGAAGCTTCCACACTGCTCCCAGCAGTTCTGCCACCACCAGCGCCTGTCCCCTTGCTTGCCCCTACCATACCTGCTGATGCCACATTGCCTCGCCCCATCAGCACTTTGAATTCAGGGCTTCTGGCCCATCTGTCCACCTCTCTAGCGCGCAGGACAGGCAACGGGTGCGCCAGCTGTCGCGTCTGTGCGTTCCTCAGGTACCAAGCCAGAGGCCCGCTATTAGCAGCCTCGTCATAAGACCTCGCTTGCGCCAAAAACGCGTCAACACTCAATTCTTCTGCCCACCAGCTACTCCTGGTACCTCCGCCCTCCATCTCCCCTGCGCCAGCAGCACCCACGGACGATCCCGCCCTAGCTCCCCCCATCCCCGCCCAGCCCCAGTCATTTCCCCCGGGGCCTCCCCCCGCGCGCGCCACCCCCCATCCGCTTCCGCCTCCGCTGGTGCTTCCGCCGGCGAGCTTCATCAACACGGACACGACCACGCGGGGATCGCGCACGACGACCAGCGCCGCGCGGTCGCACGTCAGCTCCGCGGCGCGCAGCCACCGCAGCAGCTGGTCCTCCAGCCCGCGCGCGAGCATCGTGCCGAGGAACCCGGGGAGGGAGCTCGCGGCGCCGAGCGCGAGGAGATTCGCGAAGGTGAGCCAGAGGCCGTGCTCGCACTTTAAGTGCCCTAACTCGTGCGCGAGTACGGCTTGGACTTCAATCGGCGAGAGGAGGTCTAGTAGCGCAGTATGCACCACCACGAACGGCTTCTGACCGTTGATCGCGAGCGTGTACGCGTTAGGAACGGGGCTCTGCCGCACGTATAGGTCCGGTGGCGACGGCATGTCGAGCGTGGCGGCCGCGTCTTCCATTAGCGCGTGGAGGGACGGCAGCTGCTGCGGGGAAACGAGAACTCCTGAACCGAGATTTTCCAGTACGAGAATCTGCTCCTGTACGGGGCCTAAGAGCACGCGGCCCAGGTCGTTTAGCCCGGGAATTGCGCGCAGGAGCGCGGTATTCTGGCGGTCCAGCGGGTGCCGGATGTCGTCGGCGCGCAGCCCGCGGAGCCGGTGACGCGCGGAGGCGGAATTGGCGGAGGATGCGGATGCGGAGGCGGGGGAGGAGGAGGAGGAGAGTGAGGAGGATTGACGGGAGGCAGGCAAAGAGTCAGAGTCCGATTCGGATGAACTCGACGAGTGGTTGGAATGCGGGACGCCGCTCCCTTGCCCACGCGACGGCGCCGTTGATCCCCCACTCGATGCCCCAATCGCGGCGACTATTGACTCCCTACCGCCGGCGCGTCGCCCTCCTTCCCGGAATCCGCGCTGCGCGGATCCATCCCATTCTCCATGAGTGTTCCCCGATCTACGCGCAGGCTCACCGCTGAGAAAGTCGTGCACCCGCCGGCTAAGTGGCAGAGTGGATTGCGGCACGCCCAGCGCGCGCCACTTGCGCGATGGGGAAGAGAGTGCGGAAGGATGGGGAAGCGGCGGAAGTGCGTGAAGGTGCGCCGGTACGGCCATGGCGATAGAGCGCAGGAGGCGGAGCACACGAGCAAAATGGCCTATCTGGCCTAGTTTGCACAACTCCTGTCGAGTCGGAGGTGGAGTTTGCACCCAGCAGAGGTTATAGTTCAGGTCAAAAACCAAACACACGTTCCAATAGCAAGAGTTCAAACACAAGATAAATTTCCAGATGATATAGCAGTGTATATTATGCAACTACAGTGTGGAAGTGCCCTCTGTGTGTACAGTTATGGTTTTCTATTGGATGACGTTGCCGATTGTTGTTCGACTTTCAAGACGAGAGTGGACGAGGAAATTCTGCAACTTCCCAAATTGCCTGCCCAATTCAACAATCAACCAATAGCAGCGCAGAAAGTTATCCACAGATTGGGGTCTGCCCCTTCTGGTTGGGCAGTTCTGCGCGGAGGCACAAGGGGACTGTCGCTGTTCGGACAGGTTCCGACGGGTCGACACATCATTGCACCTCTTGATGAGGTGTCACAAAATTTTAGTGGACAGGAGAGGAACACATGAATCGTGGTGGACGCATTCGGTTCGACCACGCGGTGAACACCAGCCGCAACGCGATCGCGATTCGCGAGGGACGAATTTGTCAAGTTCGTTATTACAACCAGAGCGATCTAGTGTGCAGAGAAAAACACCAGAATATATAAGCTCTCACACGGCATAAGACGGAAACATATTTTACAAAACTGGCAAACCAACATTCAGCCAGAAACGTTCTAAACAGATCTCAATCACCAGTTCTTGCAGCTATTTACCCATCGCGCCCTTTCCCAAACCAGCAGCTCCACCAAACCCACCACCAAGTCCACCAGTACCAAGGCCAGGAACACCAAGCGGAGGGACTAGGATGAACTGTCCGGGCTGGTATGTGCAGCCAAGATAGAGCATTTTCGTGTTCTCCATGGTCTCTTTATCCTCGGCATCGCAGTACGATTTCATCGCTGTCTCCTGCTCCTCCTTGGACAGCTCATGCTCCACCTCCCGGAGCAACGGCTCGTGCTCATGCCACCTGACAATCCACCTGAACATCACAGATCCAAAAAGAGGTGAGTGAGTAGGTGAGGAGGTTGATATGATGAGTTCAAACGAAAATCCAGCATAAGAATGGTGCCTGTGGAGGAGGCACAAGACAGCTCTTAAAGGGTACAGCAAGAGTGAAATATTGTGACTGAAGGTATGTGGGAGAGGCAACTACCCACCTGTCTTTGTGATCCGACAGGATTTTCCGCATAATTGCATCTGCTATCTCCCCCTCCTTACCCTCTCCTATCCCACCCCCCTGCCCGTGCTTTGGCCCTGCGCCTCCCTTCTTCCCCTCTCCTTCCTTCTCGCCCTTCTGCTGCTGCGCACCCCCCTCCTTCACGCCCCCATGCGGCTGCTCTGCGTGCTTCTCTGCTTGCGGACCAGTTTGGCTCGAAGCATGCGGAGGAGCGTGAGGAGCATGAGTGTGAGGAGCGTGTGAAGGTTCATCATCAAGGGAGAAGAGCCCGTCCAGGTCACGGTCTGTGAAATGCCGCACCACCTGTTGCTCGTCCACCACTCGCGCTGCTAGCCCCTCCTTCACCACCTGTGCATGCGCCCATGTTCCCATGTGAAAACGCAAAGATGTGCTGATATGACGATGATGACGTCACATACAATGATATGATGCAACGACAATTGTGGCAATATGATAAAATCGTGATGTGATGATGTGGCATGATGGTCCAGTGTGGTGGCGCACCTGGCGGTTGTAGATCTTCTCCTCCATGGTCCCTGCTGCCAGCAGCCGGTACACAAACACCTTCTTTGTCTGCCCGTACCTGCTCACACGCCGGAAGAATGGGGGATGAAGGGGGCCAGGCAGGAATGGGAAGGGATGAGAGAAGCAAGCACAGGAGGGTTGGGAGAGAGTGATGCGCACCAATCAAGACGAACGAGAATGACGGAAGGAGAGCACCCAGAATGAAAAGTTTTGCCTGTTGCCTCCCTCGTCCTCCACTCGTCCTCCCCTTGTCCTCCCCTCGTCCTCCTCACCCTCTCAGAACCACCCCATCACCCCACCCCCATCCACCACTCTCCTAACACAGCACCACTCCAAACACAGAATTATCACCCCTTTATGTCCCTCCCCTCCCCACCCTCCCTCCCCACGCCTCACTGCCACACGTGGAACATGGCCTGCAGGTCATGCGCGGGGTTCCAGGACCCATTGAGCAGCACCACACTCAAACCACACCCTCAACCACACTAAACCGCCCTCAACCACCCCTTCACCCTCTTTCCCCCCACCCTCACCGCCACACGCGGAACATGGCCTGCAGGTCATGCGCGGGGTTCCAGGACCCATCGAGCAGCACGACACGGTTAGCCGCCACCAGGTTGATCCCCACCGACCCCGCACGCGTCGAGATCAACACACACACCGCGCACCAGTCCCCTCCTAGTCAAGTCAACCACATTCCCAACACCACCACCGCTCCCTTAAAACGGCACTTCCCTCTTCCATAACCCCTCCCCCCCCTCTTACCTCCAGACACGGAACATGGCTTGCAAATCATGGGCAGGGTTCCAGGAACCGTCGAGCAGCACGACACGGTTAGCCGCCACCAGGTTGATCCCCACCGACCCCGCACGCGTCGAGATCAGCACACACCGCGCCTGCCGGTTGCTGCGCGGCTCGTTGAACCGGTTCACGATCGTCTGCCTGCGCGCGGCGCTCACAGACCCGTCGATTCTGGGATGCGTGGAGGGTGAGGGGAGAGGGAGAGTAGGAGGAAGCAAGAGTGAGAGTATTTCTTACTGAGCCTGCTGGTTGCTGTGCGGCTCGTTGAATCGGTTCGTTATCGTCTGCCTGAGTCCTGCACTCACAGACCCGTCCATTCTGGGAGGGCGGGTGGGAGTGGAGGAGGGACAGATACAGAGCGTGAGAATGCAACAAAACTATGAAGCACCAGGGGGGGCAAGGAGCAGGTTGGGAGTGAGGAGCGATTGGCTGAGGAATAGCACCTTGTCAAGTCAAGGCAGCAAGGGAGCATGCATAAACGCCAGAGCTTACCTGTACCAGTGCACGCCTGCTGTCCACTTGGCTCCAACACCACCAGCAGCACCAACGGGGTCGTGCATGTCGGCAAGTAGCAGTTCCAGGAGGTCCAGAGTGAGCAGCGACTGGCTGAAGAAGAGCACTTTGTCGCCCACTGCTGCTGCCTGCCTTAGGATGTCCAGCGCTATTGTGAGCTTGCCACTCACCCCCAACCCGCCCTGCCGTATCGCCTCCTCTTCCTCCTGCCACCACGACTGGGGGTGGGAGGGAGGGGAAGGGGGTGGAGGGGAGAGGAGGGGAGAGAGGAGGGGGGAGAGAGAGGGAAGGAGAAAAGGCGAGGGAACAAGACAAGAGAGAAACAGAGAGTTTTTGGAGTGCCTTAAATAGGCAAACAGAGGAGGGGAATGATTACGTTTGATCGAATCCTCGAGATATGCACACTCACTACAGGAACACACAACCCCATGTAATAATTGTGCCACATACATTGTCAAGAGCTGACACAGTAGCAGCAGCAGCAGCAGGCGGGGCGAGGGGCGAGGCAGCAGCAGCATCAGCAGGAACGTCAGTATCAGGCTCGGTTTCTTCTGCTTCCTGACGCCGCATGGTGAGGATGAAGGGATGCGTCCACACCTGGGGATGGAAAAGCGGCACAGGGCGAGGCGCGAAGGGCGGGAGTGAGGGGGTGGGAAAAGGGGTGCAGGGGCGAGACGTGAGGGGCAAAAGGCGAAATCTCCAGTTCCGAGTCAAAAGGTTGGCATCAGGTTTCACGCATTTCCTTCGCAAGTGAACCACGATTCAAATCAATTTTACAACATTTCAAGATTCACCTTGGCCAGTGCAGCGTAGGATGCAAAGAGCGTCCTTCTCTTGTCGTCTGCTCCCCCCACCACTGCTCCACCCCCACCACCACAACCAGCACCACCACCACCGCCACCAGCAGCAACAACAGCAGCACCACCACCGCCACCAGCAGCAGTGGCAGTAGCAGGCGCAGCAGCGGAATCTGCTGCTTTTCTTCCAGAAGATGGAGAGAGTCGGCCACTAGAGCAGGCAGCGAGCTTGGGGGAGGAGCGAGAAGCAGCATGAGGCGAAGCAGAGGCAAGCAGGCTTGGGGGGAGAGGGGAGATGGGAAAAGAGGCGCCCGGAGGTGGTGGGGAGGAGGAAGAAGGGCCGTTGGGGGCTGATGGTGGGGAAACAGCAGCAGCACTTGCACCAGCAGAAGCAGCAGCAGCAGCAGCCGCAGCAGCAGCGGCAGCAGCAGTGGTAGCAGCGGCGGCAGCAGCAAGACCAGCAGTGACAGCACCAGCCGCAACACCAGCACCAGCGGCGGCAGCAGCAGCGGCGGCGGCGGCAGCAGCAGCAGCGGAGTGCCGATACGCGAGGAAGCGCAGGTACAGCGAGCGCTGCAGCGGGCTGAGCCTCACAGCCACCACGTAGACGAATCGGTCGGGCAGTTCATGCGACACCACATCAGCCGAGCGGCGCTGCACAAAGCCCTTGAGGAGATTCGCGAGCACATAGGAGCGCTCCCGCATCAGACGCACGTCGGATTTGTCTGAATCGGAGCGCTGGCCGTTGATGATTGGGTTCTCGAACCTGAAAGCGGAGTGGGAGGGGGTTGAACAGGGGAGGGGAGGGAGGGGGTTGAACAGGGGAGGCGAGGGAGGGGGTTGAACAGGGGAGGCGAGGGAGGGGGTTGCAGGGTGAGTGAGCGCTGCAGCGGGCTGAGTCTCGCAGCCACCCTTGCACAGCCACCACGTAGACGAATCGGTCGGGCAGTTCATGCGACACCACATCGGCCGAGCGGCGCTGCACAAAGCCCTTGAGGAGATTCGCGAGCACGTATGATCGCTCCCGCATGAGACGCACGTCTGACTTGTCTGAATCGGAGCGCTGGCCGTTGATGATGGGGTTCTCGAACCTGGGCGTGGTGGGAGTGGGACGGGAGAGGGGGAGGGAGGCGAGCAGGGGAGGCAGGGGAGTGCAGGTGCAGTGAGTGCTGCAGCGGGCTGAGTCCTCACAGGCACCAGCAGGGCCACCACGTAGACGTATTGGTCGGGCGATTCATGCGCCACTACGTCAACTGAGCGGCGCTGCACAAAGCCCTTGAGGAGATTCGCGAGCACATAGACGCATTGGTCGGGCAGCTCATGCGCCAGCATGTGTCAGGAAAGGGATGAGACGCATTTGAAAAGGATGGCTTTTGTGAACCTGGAACACCCCAGAGGCTACCTACCCCGAATGTCCCATCCCAACCCGCCCGATACCAACCACCCTAGACCATCCCGGATTCCCAGGCGCACCTGTTCTTGAACTCGTGTGGGGTGCCCAGAGTGCCTTCGCGTACAAAGTCCACCATCTGAGGGCGCGCACAGGGGTGGTGTGGTGGGGTGGGGAGAGAGGGAAGTGAGGGAGGGTTAGTGAGGGAGGGTTAGTGAGGGAGGGTTAGTGAGGGAGGGTTAGTGAGGGAGGGTTAGTGAGGGAGGGTTAGTGAGGGAGGGTTAGTGAGGGAGGGTTAGTGAGGGAGGGTTAGTGAGGGAGGGTTAGTGAGGAGGGAGGGTTAGTGAGGAGGGAGGGTTAGTGAGGAGGGAGGGTTAGTGAGGGAGGGTTAGTGAGGGAGGGTTAGTGAGGGAGGGTTAGTGAGGGAGGGTTAGTGAGGGAGGGTTAGTGAGGGAGGGTTAGTGAGGGAGGGTTAGTGAGGGAGGGTTAGTGAGGGAGGGTTAGTGAGGGAGGGTTAGTGAGGGAGGGTTAGTGAGGGAGGGTTAGTGAGGGAGGGTTAGTGAGGGAGGGTTAGTGAGGGAGGGTTAGTGAGGGAGGGTTAGTGAGGGAGGGTTAGTGAGGGAGGGTTAGTGAGGGAGGGTTAGTGAGGGAGGGTTAGTGAGGGAGGGTTAGTGAGGGAGGGTTAGTGAGGGAGGGTTAGTGAGGGAGGGTTAGTGAGGGAGGGTTAGTGAGGGAGGGTTAGTGAGGAGGGAGGGTTAGTGAGGAGGGAGGGTTAGTGAGGGAGGGTTAGTGAGGGAGGGTTAGTGAGGGAGGGTTAGTGAGGGAGGGTTAGTGAGGGAGGGTTAGTGAGGGAGGGTTAGTGAGGGAGGGTTAGTGAGGGAGGGTTAGTGAGGGAGGGTTAGTGAGGAGGGAGGGTTAGTGAGGAGGGAGGGTTAGTGAGGGAGGGTTAGTGAGGGAGGGTTAGTGAGGGAGGGTTAGTGAGGGAGGGTTAGTGAGGGAGGGTTAGTGAGGGAGGGTTAGTGAGGGAGGGTTAGTGAGGGAGGGTTAGTGAGGGAGGGTTAGTGAGGGAGGGTTAGTGAGGGAGGGTTAGTGAGGGAGGGTTAGTGAGGGAGGGTTAGTGAGGGAGGGTTAGTGAGGGAGGGTTAGTGAGGGAGGGTTAGTGAGGGAGGGTTAGTGAGGGAGGGTTAGTGAGGGAGGGTTAGTGAGGGAGGGTTAGTGAGGGAGGGTTAGTGAGGGAGGGTTAGTGAGGGAGGGTTAGTGAGGGAGGGTTAGTGAGGGAGGGTTAGTGAGGGAGGGTTAGTGAGGGAGGGTTAGTGAGGGAGGGTTAGTGAGGGAGGGTTAGTGAGGGAGGGTTAGTGAGGGAGGGTGTGAGGAGGGTTAGTGAGGGAGGGTTAGTGAGGAGGGAGGGTTAGTGAGGAGGGAGGGTTAGTGAGGAGGGAGGGTTAGTGAGGAGGGAGGGTTAGTGAGGAGGGAGGGTTAGTGAGGAGGGAGGGTTAGTGAGGAGGGAGGGTTAGTGAGGAGGGAGGGTTAGTGAGGAGGGAGGGTTAGTGAGGAGGGAGGGTTAGTGAGGAGGGAGGGTTAGTGAGGAGGGAGGGTTAGTGAGGAGGGAGGGTTAGTGAGGAGGGAGGGTTAGTGAGGGAGGGTTAGTGAGGGAGGGTTAGTGAGGGAGGGTTAGTGAGGGAGGGTTAGTGAGGGAGGGTTAGTGAGGGAGGGTTAGTGAGGGAGGGTTAGTGAGGGAGGGTTAGTGAGGGAGGGTTAGTGAGGGAGGGTTAGTGAGGGAGGGTTAGTGAGGGAGGGTTAGTGAGGGAGGGTTAGTGAGGGAGGGTTAGTGAGGGAGGGTTAGTGAGGGAGGGTTAGTGAGGGAGGGTTAGTGAGGGAGGGTTAGTGAGGGAGGGTTAGTGAGGGAGGGTTAGTGAGGAGGGAGGGAGGAGGGAGGGTTAGTGAGGGAGGGTTAGTGAGGGAGGGTTAGTGAGGGAGGGTTAGTGAGGGAGGGTTAGTGAGGGAGGGTTAGTGAGGGAGGGTTAGTGAGGGAGGGTTAGTGAGGGAGGGTTAGTGAGGGAGGGTTAGTGAGGGAGGGTTAGTGAGGAGGGAGGGTTAGTGAGGAGGGAGGGTTAGTGAGGGAGGGTTAGTGAGGGAGGGTTAGTGAGGGAGGGTTAGTGAGGGAGGGTTAGTGAGGGAGGGTTAGTGAGGGAGGGTTAGTGAGGGAGGGTTAGTGAGGGAGGGTTAGTGAGGGAGGGTTAGTGAGGGAGGGTTAGTGAGGGAGGGTTAGTGAGGGAGGGTTAGTGAGGGAGGGTTAGTGAGGGAGGGTTAGTGAGGGAGGGTTAGTGAGGGAGGGTTAGTGAGGGAGGGTTAGTGAGGGAGGGTTAGTGAGGGAGGGTTAGTGAGGGAGGGTTAGTGAGGGAGGGTTAGTGAGGGAGGGTTAGTGAGGGAGGGTTAGTGAGGGAGGGTTAGTGAGGGAGGGTTAGTGAGGGAGGGTTAGTGAGGGAGGGTTAGTGAGGGAGGGTTAGTGAGGGAGGGTTAGTGAGGGAGGGTTAGTGAGGGAGGGTTAGTGAGGGAGGGTTAGTGAGGGAGGGTTAGTGAGGGAGGGTTAGTGAGGGAGGGTTAGTGAGGGAGGGTTAGTGAGGGAGGGTTAGTGAGGGAGGGTTAGTGAGGGAGGGTTAGTGAGGGAGGGTTAGTGAGGGAGGGTTAGTGAGGGAGGGTTAGTGAGGGAGGGTTAGTGAGGGAGGGTTAGTGAGGGAGGGTTAGTGAGGGAGGGTTAGTGAGGGAGGGTTAGTGAGGGAGGGTTAGTGAGGGAGGGTTAGTGAGGGAGGGTTAGTGAGGGAGGGTTAGTGAGGGAGGGTTAGTGAGGGAGGGTTAGTGAGGGAGGGTTAGTGAGGGAGGGTTAGTGAGGGAGGGTTAGTGAGGGAGGGTTAGTGAGGAGGGTTAGTGAGGGAGGGTTAGTGAGGGAGGGTTAGTGAGGGAGGGTTAGTGAGAGGGTTAGTGAGGGAGGGTTAGTGAGGGAGTTAGTGAGTAACGACTTCTGAGGGGGCGCCGAAAGAGTGCCCCCAGAGTGCCCCCCAGAGTGCCCCCCAGAGTGCCCCCCAGAGTGCCCCCAGAGTGCCCACGCGCACAAACAAACCATCTGAGGGGGCGCTGGGGGCAGAGGGCAGGGCCGAGGGCAGAACGGAGGGAAGGGGGGAGGGAAGGCGAGGGAAGGCGAGGGAAGGCGAGGGAAGGCGAGGGAGGCAAGGGAGGGATATTTCAGGAGCCACAAGAATGGTGGTGAGAGTTCCCACACAGCCATTCATTCGAGTGAAAAACGGGGCCTCGATAATGCCTCCCAGGCCCAATCGCCCTTCTCCCCCCTTCCCCTGGTTCCCCCCACACCTTCCCTCTCCCCAACTCCCCTCACATGCACCCCCAACTCACACAATAGTATTCAGTGAGGTTGTTCTGTTGCAGCGAGCCTGTGAGAGCAATGCGGCGCTTCGAAGGTGCTTCCCCTGCCCCAATCCCCTTCCTCCCCATTCCCTGCCCACAACCCCACTCCCCACAGTCCCAACCACTCACGCAGTAATATTCGGTGAGGTTGTTCTGAAGCGGCGAGCCTGTGAGAGCGATGCGGCGCTTGGTGCGCACGCACTTGAGGGCAACCGTCGTGTCTGCCTTGTCGTTCTTGATCGTGTGCGCCTCGTCACACACCAGCAGGTCTGGGCCCGGGTCCTGAGGATATTGAGAGAGTGTGGGGGGGCAAAAGATGGGGGTAAGCCGCGGGGGGAGACATGGGGGCAACAACATGACCTTTGTCGTTCTTGATCGTGTGCGCCTCGTCACACACCAGCAGGTCTGGGCCCGGGTCCTTAGAGTGTGGCGAACCGAGAGCGCGGGGGGAAGGTGGGGGGAAGATAGGGGGAAAAATGGGTGGAAGATGGGGAAAAAAAAACAACAAGATACAAACCCAACAAGCGTGCACACAACACACCCACCCACCGACAAACCTGCGAGCCCTCTGAAAAGCACCTCCCATTCCAGCATACCTGCAGGCATGATCTGAAGGTGTGTCGCAGCGTCTCCTTCTGCACATGTCTCGAGGCGTCTCAAGGCGCTGAAGGCATGCTCATAACGCAACCCCCGCAACATACCACCATAGGCACCCTCCCAGCATACCTGCAGGCATGATCTGAAGGTGTGTCGCAGCGTCTCCTTCTGCACGTGCGTGCCCAGGCACAGCATGCGAAACGCCTGGTACCCAATCAGCATCACGCCGCCCCCCTCCTTCCACCGCCGCAGCTGCCTTGCCCTCTCCGCGTTCGTCCTGCCAGCAGCATCAAGCAGATACACCGGTATATCCAACAAGAACAAAACGGTAAGTTAGAAACGCCTAAGAACAAAAACCCATCCCCTCCTCTCTGCCCCACCGACTGCACTACACACCTACCAGCATCGTCAAGCAGGTAACTGAAATATCCACCTCCTCCCTCTGCGGTGACTTTGGGTCGACTCAAAAGTCCCCACCCGACTGCCTTCACTTCACTACAGTCCTCTCACCTGCCAGCATCATCAAGCAGATAAACCGGAATATCCACCTCCTCCCTCTGCTCCTCCTGCCCGCTCTTCGGCCCCGACCAGGTCGCTGGCCCTCCCCTCACCCCTCCCACTCCCTCCCCACCTCCCTTCCCTCCTCCCACCCCTCCACCCCCCCTCGCAGCAGCACCGCTCCCCACCACTGGCATCCACCGCCGAAACTCCTCCTTCCAGTTATGCAGCACGTTCACAGGCGCGACAATCAGCACCGTTCGGAGCCCATGTGCGTGGAACTGGTTCAGCACAGTGTGCACGAACGAGATCACTTGGAGTGTCTTCCCTAGCCCCATGGAATGCGCTAGAATGCACCCGAACCCGGGATCGCCGCTTTGGACCAGCGCCATGCTGTGAATGCAGTTCTGCCACATGAACCGCACACCCTCCACCTGACAAATGGAAAGGGAATGAGTAGAAGGTGCAATGAGTGAGACATCCGCCCACTACAAGGCGAGGCAACCAACGCTTTGGACCAGTGCCATGCTGTGAATGCAGTTCTGCCACATGAACCGCACGCCCTCCACCTGAGAGGCACAAGGGGAGAAGAGCACAAGGTGTGAAGAGACGGAGGGATTCGGCCAGTGTAAGGCAATGCAGCCAAAGCACAGTAGCCGCTTTGCACGAGCGCCATGCTGCGAATGCAGTTCTGCCACATGAACTGAGCTGACTTTTGAGTCGACTCAAAAGTTCTGCCACATGAACCGCACGCCCTCCCTCCACCTGAGCGAGGGAGAGAACGAATGGGCTTACTCCCTCCACGACACGACACAACAGCTTCTGGAGCGCCAGATAGACACGCCCCTGACCTTCCCTTCCCTTTCCCCTCTCACACTCACCTGGTGGTCCTTGAGACACTCGGAGAGGAACGGGTGGATGCGCACGGCAGGTTCAGACAGCGCCCGCAGCTTGCTGACTTTTCCGTCAACTTAAAACACATCCCATTCCCTCCCCCCCCCAAATCGCACCTGGTGGTCCTTGAGGCACTCTGAGAGGAACGGGTGGATGCGCACAGCAGGTTCAGACAGCGCCCTGAGCTTGTTGATTACCACACACCCATCCTGCTGCACCTCATCCTCATCCTCCTCATCCTCCTCCTCCTCCTCCTCCTCCCCCTCCCCCCTGCTCCATCCTCTGTCTGCGTCTCCTCTGTCGCCATAGTGGTTGCTCTTTCAGCTTCTCCCGCTCCTCCCTCATTCTCCTCCATTCCTCCTCCTGCTCCCGCCGCCTCTGGTGAGGGGAGGCGAGGGAGAAGTGGCCAGGGGAAAAGTGAGAATCTGAGAAAACGATTGAGATGAGAGGCTGAAGAAACGGGGGGGATTCGAAAGAAAACAATCTGACAAGAGAGGCAGCAAGCATGTGAAGAAAGAAGGAAGGAAATTCACCAGGGATGCTGAGGAGAGTGTGGGGGAACGGAAGGAGGGGCAGGGGGAGGGGAGGTAGAAAGGGAGGAGAGAGGCAGAGAGGGACGTGGGGGCGGGAAGATGATGGCACAAAAGAGAAGCAAGGCAGCATGTGTGTTACCCGTTCCCGCTCAAGCGCCTGTTTAGTCTTGGCTTCCAGTTGATCGTCTGTGATAATAGGGACCCGCCTCCTCTGCTGCTTGCCACTACCACTGCCACCAGCAAGGGCATGGAGTGTGGGGGGGGGGGGGGGGGGAGGGGGGAGGGGGGGGGGGAAGATTCTTGGAACGGTCAGGAGAGTTGGTAAGGGCTACAAAACTCGTCTCAGCATGGCCGCAGGGACGCAGGAGCACAGAGAAATTTCCCTTGCAGAACCCTGCAGGACCATACGTTGCAGAGCCCGCTCCGGCAAGAGTCACAACTCCCACCACATGCCATGACTCATACGTCTGTCACAAGTCACACACATTCCACAAGTCGCTACCAGGCCTGCAAAGCTCACCTCTCAGCCTTTGTTCCCTCCGCCTCCCTCTCCCCTCCCTCCCCTCCCTCTCCCCGCGCCTTCTCCTCCCCCACCCCCTCCAACCCCGCTCCCTTCTCCCCCTCCCCTTGACCCTCCTTCTCCTTCTTCCCCCACACGCCCCTCGCTGCCCGCACCCCCCTCCGCGCCACCACCTTCGCCCCTTCCGCCTGCAACCTGGCCAGTGGGGCCGCATCACAACAGAAGCACTTCCAGGGATCACCCCCTTCCGCATCAGAGCTCTCTATCCTTCTATACTCCGCCGCCCCAAAGTTCCTTAGCACGCAGCTGCGGCAGAACGTGAAGCGGCACTTGGGAGTGTCACAGAGCAACAAGTGTCCCCCCAGCCCGCACCAGTGGCACTGCTGCTCTGTACCGTCCGATTTGTCGACAGAAAATGTCACGTTGATGCGTGACACGTGGCAGGTTCGGCAGAGGGGGACCGAGAGGGTGCTATGCACTCGGGCCCTCTTAGCCGGTGTCTCTTGCCCGCACACAGTGCATCGTACCAAACACTGCTCCTCCTCTTCCTCCTCTTCCTTCCCCCTCTCCTTCCCCCCTTCCTTTCCGCCTTCCTTCCGCCCGCCCCTGCCCACAAACCCTGGTCCCCCCACTGCGCCCTTCCCTGCCTCCCTATCCGCCTTCCCACGCGTCTCCCCCACGACAATCACACCATCAGATTCTTGGCTATCGGATCCCAACACCACGTTCAGACTATCCTCCCGCACCTCCCCCTCCTCCAACTCACCCTCCACCTCCATTCTACTGCTGCTGCTGCTGGTACGAATCATCTCCACGCCCTCACTGTCGCTGCTGCTGCTGCTGTCAGTAGATACCACGAGCACAACTCGCGCACGCTTGCTCTCCCTCTCCTCCTCCCTCTCGTTCCCTGCCTTGCTCTCCCCAGCAGCTTTACCCGTCCCTTGGGCCAGTTTCCCTGATATTCCCTGCTTCCCATCGCCGCCCCCCTCGTTTGCTAACTCCTGTTCCTGATGCTTCTGCTTCTGCTGCTGCCGCTTCACCCTCTCCCTGACCCTCCTCCTCGCTTGCTTTATCTTCTTCGCATCATCCCCATCCCCTATCTGCACCAAGGCAAACACAGAACCACACAAAGCCACAACACAGAGCAATACTAAAAGCGCCTCAAGAACCATCACAAAGAGCAGCACGAGTCGGACCACTGCACACTACACACCATCAGCCTACCCCACGCCCCCACCCATCCACTCACCCACCCACCCGTCCACTTATAATAAAGCAAGCTGAGAAAGAAGGTGAATTAACCATCAAAGAAGCCACATGAGCAGCTCCAAGCTCTCACCTTGACCATGCTGGCAATCTGCCGTGACATAAGCCCATTCTTTGCTTCCTCCACCGCCGCTGTAGCCTCCTTCACATCAGTCATCTTGGGTTCTGCAATCTCCTCCACTTTTGCGTTTAAGTCCAACGCTGCTGCCTTTATCCAGCCAGAGCATACAATCTCCACACTCTCACCTTGACCATGCTGGCAATCTGCTGTGACGTGAGCCCTTTCTTTCCTTCCTCCACCACCGCTACAGCCTCCTTCACATCAGTCATCTTGGGTTCTGCAATCTCCTCCACTTTCGCATTCAACTCCAACGCTGCTGCCTGGCAGGGTGAATCCAGATTGTACAATCTCAGCAGTTCAAACTCAGGCCGCGCCGCAACTGCCGCTGCTGCCGCCGCCGCTGCCGCAGCAGCTGCAGCTGCCGCTTTGCTGGATTTCCGCCCCTTTCCTGCTGCTGCTGCCGCTGCGGCTGCAGCGGTGGCAGCAGCGACCGCTTTGGAAACAGCTGAATCGTACACGTCCCAGGTCTTGAGCATAGAAGCTGTTGCTGCTGCTCGTAATGCGTTTGCACGCTGACCTCCTACTCCTGCCGGTGCCCCGTCTGCCCCTTTCTGCTGCTCACTCGCGCCCCCAGCTGTACCGTCTCCCTTACTCTCGGCATCAACTCCTTCTGCTGCTCCTGCTGCTGCATCAGGCGCTGTTGTCACATCTGCTTGGAGAGCGTCAGCAGCAGCCTTGGTCGCCTCGCCCACCATTGTCTCCTCGCAATCGCGCAGCAGCTTCTCCAGGTACCCACTCGCTCCCACCGGCGCCAGCCCCCTACTCGTCCTGCGCAGAGCACGACGGGAGAAAAGGATTAGGGGAATTTTTATAGCGACTTTTAACACGTCTCAGCAGCAGCCTTGGTCGCTGCTCCAGGTACCCACTCGCTCCCACCGGCGCCGGCACCCCATTCTTCCTACGCAGAGAACGTCGGGAGAAAAGGGTAAGGGGATTTTTGATAGAGACTTTTAACACATCTCAGCAGCAGCCGTGATCGCCTCGCCCACCATTGTCTCCTCGCAATCGCGCAGCAGCTGCTCTAATTAACCACTCGCTCCCACCGGCGATACCCCCCCATTTTTCCTGCGCAGAGCACAGCGGGAGAAAGGGACAATGGGGGTTTTGAAAGCGGAGCGTGCCCCCCCGTGCATGTTAGAATACACACCAAAGTCTCATGATGTGGAATGATGGCCATGGAATGATGGCGCGGGCAGGAGGGGGCAACAGGGACGAGGGCGTCAAAACAACGAGGCTTTGAGATTGGAGTGAAACAAGAACATGCACTTGACCGTCGCTTCTAGCAAAACTAGTGGAATAAAGGACTTTCCAGAAAAGGCTGCAACGAACAAAAAAGAAATGAGGGGGTTCATGATCACCCCTTCCTCTTCCCTCTCACTGCAAGCCTACCAGCAACCTCAACGGATCCTAAGCCAGACGGCCAAACTCACTCTGCGATAGGACGTGTGTGCGCCAAAACTTTCTCAGCTGCCCGCACCCAGTCCTCCTCATCCTCCTCATCCTCATCCTCATCCTCCTCCTCTCCCTCCTCACTCTCTTCCTCACTCTCATCTCCCTCCTCCCCTTCTCCCCGCTTTCTCTTGCCCGCCCGCTTGCTCTGTTTCCGCTCCGCCGCCCGAGCCTCAGCCCTCCTCCAAGCCTCCCTTTGCCGCCGAGCCTCAGCCTTGGCAGCGTCGCGCTTAGGGTCGGTGATCCAGTGCGAGCGCTCCTTCCAGGCCGCTGTGCGTGCTGCTTTTGATGTGTGCTTTTCTATGAACGCATAGACGGCTGGTAGGTCTATGCCTGGAACGGTGTCGAGACACTCCTGAGATGGATGAGGGGAGGGCGCGGTGTTGGGGGATGGGGACGGAACGGAGGGGGAGGAGGAGAGACGCTCGAGGAGAGATGAAGAGGGATAAGCCTCAAGAAAGGGCTGCTGCCGTGCGTTTCAGAATGGCAACAGTTGCCACAGAAAGAGCACCAGGACGCGCATCAAGCATGCGAAACAGTCTGATGAGGTAATGAGTGCCATCAGTCAGCAGGGCTGAGCGGGAAACGGCAGAGAGCCGCGAAAATAAGCACACATAACAGCGAGAGCTCCACCTTACGTGACGTACATCCCCTCTCCCTTCTCAGCCGTTCAAGCACGCACACAAGCACACACCCACCTGAGCCTCGGAGATCTTATCCAGCAAGACTTTCAGCTCTTGATAAAAGCACTGCAAGAGTTACAAGAGCGCACCTGGGCCTCCGAGATCTTATCCAGCAACACGTTCAGCTCCCTCTCCCACATCTCCTGCAGCGTTGCCATCTCCTCGTCCACCAGCACTGCCACCTGCACGCACGCACACACACACACACACACACACACACACACACACACACACACACACACACACACACACACACACACACACACACACACACACACACACACACACACACACACACGGAGCAGGGCAGGGGGAAAAGGAAGGGTGGGAACGGGGCTTTAAGAAACACATGTCCTGCAGGGTTGGCATGACCTCGTCCACCAGCACTGCCACCTACACACACACGGCCGGAGCAGGGGAGGGGCGCAGGGAAGGGTGGGAAGGCCTTTTGAGGCGCATAAAAGAACATATTTCCCGTGAATGGCGGAACTCGCGCGCATCAACACTTCCCCCTTACCCCTCCCCCTTCCCCCTGCACCCTTCCGCGCGGCTCACCTGGTCCGGGGAGCAGTCCGGGCGCGCGGAGCGGATCTCTTCCGCCACGTTGCTGCGCACGGCCGCCATGGATTCCTCCTCCAGCGATTCCTGCGCCTCTGCCGCCTGGAGAGTGTGAAAAAGCGGGTTGCACGTGTATGAGTTCCGGTTACGCACATCATACATACGTTTAAAATCAATTCTGGCATAAGAAGCTGTTGTGTAGCTTTCTCCCTGGAGCAAGAAACGTGTGGCACAAGTTCCTGCTCACTTCCAGTCTACCCTTTACATCGTCGCATCGCCAACGGCGTCGCACGCATTGTCGCACGCACCTGTTCCTCCAGCAGCACGAGGTGATCCACCAGCGCCTGCACCTCGTCGTCCGTCCACGGCCCCTCGCGATCCTGCGAGTCGCACACAGAGTAACGAATCAAGAACGTCGTGTATCACATGTTTGCGAAAAAAGGCGTATCACATGTTTGCGAAAAAAGGCGTATCACATGTTTGCGAAAAAAGGCGTATCACATGTTTGCGAAAAAAGGTCGCGAGCCCGACGTCCAAAGCACATCGCAAGAACGTCGTGAACACACAGCACCGAGAGACGTGCAAGCGAGCGCAAACAGAATACAGCATCACGTGATAGTGACGACAAATGTTGTTACTGTAGCCGGTGCTGTGCAGGAAAAAATCAAAGACATAGAAACTGACGGGCTTACGGAATGACGCTACTTTTACAGATGATGCATCACTCACCAACAGCAGAGACTCTCTGGTACTTGTCGCGACAATAATTCAGACTCCTGACGAACCTGCTCGCACTTACCGAGAGCGTGGAACCCTTGTTGCTTCCTGCCGTTGCCGCGTCGCCCTCCGCATCGCTGCCGTCTTCCAAGTCCACCTCCTCGTCGCCACCATTAAGGCTGCTAACGAACGAACCTGCGCGCACTCACCGAAAGCGGGGAACCCTTGGCGCTTCCCGCTGTCGCCGCGTCTCCCTCCGCATCGCTGCCGTCTTCCAAGTCCACCTCCTCGTCGCGCTCACCCTCCTCCTCGCCCGCCTCGTCCACCTCCTCCTCCTCCTCCTCCTCGCCCTCGCTCGCGCCCAAATCGCTGCCGATATCGTCGCACATCACCTCCTCGTTCTCGCCGTCTGCTGCCGCCATCGCCGTCGTCGTCGCCTTCGTCGCCTTCGTCGCCAACGTCGCCTAGGGCAAGTTAATGCTTCTGGCACGCCGTAGCTTTCGCGGCTCAGGCCGGTTCGGTTATCCCCGCTTAACGCTCACGGAGCGAAACGACTTCAGATGCCAATATCAAACCCTTCTGCACAGCGAAAAATAATAAACCAATGGCGTCGAATCAGGTCGAATCAGTGAGAACGGTGACAAACACCAAGAGCAACACGCTTTCGACATGCACACATCGTCGCAAGACTTAAACCAAGAAGCCCAATAGGCGAAGAGAAAATTGATATAATTATTCAAAGGATATGAACTCTAGGCATAGGAGATCTCAGAGATCGGCCTTGTTACCACTGATATTTTCGACCACAATGAACGAACGGACGTCCGTCAAGCACCCAAGTTTCCGCCAACGCCGCCAAAATCAATACGGACGCGTAGTGGACAGAAGGATCTCCGTACGAGCGAAATATATATAAGCTGGCGTGTCCCTCATATGACACGAAGCGCAGAACCTTTCTGACTAAGAACCAACTCCAAGAATGCTAGCGTGGTTATGTTCAACTCGCAGGTTGAGTCTTCATTTCCTTTTTGTAGCTGTGCTGGGGTGGGAATGCATGGCCAACACCTTCACGCTCGATGAATTTATCACGGTTCCAATGGGTGTGATACGATACAAAACGGTTTCGTATAATGACCGTATTGAATCTCGAGAAAACCTTTTGAACCGTAGGGTAGATAATTTGAGCACACAAAACAACCCCCACAAATCACACCCTGCAGGCAGTGTGGGCCATGAATGGATGGTGACTGGCAGAGTGGCAGGTTGGCAGGGTGACAGAGCGGTGGGAGCGGGAGTGATGGCATACAGTAGCATGGCAATGGCATTCCCTGTGCTGTTTGTGCGTCTGAATGACGATTTTCTGATTTTGAATTGGCGCGATGCGCCTCACTGGAAGTGACGCGCTAAACAGCAGAGAGAGACAAGACAACCATATAAAATTTTATAAAAGCTTTATTTACTAGAAACAGAAGTTTAACAAAACGTATGAACTGTGGAAATTAAATGCATGTGACTATTCCTTATCTCAAGTCTTAAATTACACAATGTTTACTGGTGTGTGCTGCAATCTCATTCTAAGGTTTAGCACAAGAGACTTTACCAAGATTGTCATTTCATACTTTGGCACTATTCGTTTCGATTATAATTCTAACGCAGGTCTGCCATCTCATACTTTGGCACAAGTGGCATCTATTTACCTGGATTTTCCTCTCCCCTGCTCTCCCCTTATATCCCCCATTCTCCCCTCATTCTTTCCGCTCTCCCATCGTCCAACTCGCTCTTCTCTCATCGGCCCAGCCCTCCCCTCATCTGCTCTCTCCCCATTGTCCACGCTCCCCCCTCATTCCCACCGCCCTCTCCTCATTCCCCCCGCTCTCCCCTCATTCCTGCTGCTCTCTCCCCATCTCCTCCACATCCTTCCTTCGCTCTCCCCTCGTCTTCCTCATTTCTCTTCGCTCTCCGCTTGTCCCGCCGCATCTTCTTCAACTGCACCCATCTCCCATCTTCTTTCCGCTCACCCCTCCTTTCCTCCTACCCCCTCTCCGACATACACAGTCTAGCCCACCACTCATTCCTTTCCCCAGCCATGCATCCTCTTCTCCTCAAGCCCTCCCCTCTTCCCACTTTCCTCGCTCCAACCATGCTAGACTCCCCCCTCCATCCAACCTGCTTTCTTTTCGCCAACCCTCTCCTTATCTTACCCCCCACTCACCCCTCATTTCCACCAACCCACCCGCCACTCATTCCCCTCCCCTAACCATCCCTCATCCCCCCTCTCCAATCATGTGTCATCCCCCCTCCACTCACCTCTCATCCCCCCACACGCCCCCCCTTTGGTCCAAGTGGAGACATGGTCAAAGTGGAGACATTGTTCAAGTGTCGACACACGTTGTCACACTTGGTCACACGTGGTCACACGTGGTCACACTTGGTTATATGTGGTCACACGTGGTCACACGTGGTCACACTTGGTCACACGTGGTCACACTTGGTCACACTTGGTCACACGTGGTCACACGTGATCACACTTAATCACATGTGGTCACATGTAGTCACAAGTGGTCACACTTGGTCAGACTTGGTCACACTTGGTCACACACGTTGTCACACTTGGTCACACTTGGTCACACTTGGTCACACGTGGTCACACTTGGTCACACATGATCACACTTTGTCACACTTGGTCACACGTGGTCACACGTGGTCACACGTGGTCACACTTAATCACATGTGGTCACATGTAGTCACAAGTGGTCACACTTGGTCAGACTTGGTCACACTTGGTCACACACGTTGTCACACTTGGTCACACTTGGTCACACGTGGTCACACTTGGTCACACATGATCACACTTTGTCACACTTGGTCACACGTGGTGACACATGGTCACACTTGGTAACACGTGGTCACACGTGGATACACGTGGTCACACTTGGTCACACGTGGTCACACGTGGTCACACTTGGTCACACTTGGTCACACATGGCCACACTTGGTTACACATGGCCACACTTGGTCACACTTGGTCACACGTGGTCACACGTGGTCACACTTGGTCACACTTGGTCACACGTGGTCACACTTGGTCACACGTGGTCACACTTGGTCACACTTGGTCACACTTGGTCACACTTGGTCACACGTGGTCACACTTGGTCAGACTCGGTCACACTTGGTCACGCTTGGTCACATGTGGTCACACTTGGTCACACGAGGTCACACTTGGTCACACATGGTAACACGTGGTCACACTTGGTCACACTTGGTCACACTTCGTCATACGTGGTCACGTTTGGTCACACGTGGTCACACGTGGTCACACTTGGTCACACGTGGTCACACGTGGTCACACTTGGTCGTACTTGGTCACACTTGGTCACACATGGTCACACGTGGTCACACTTGGTCACACTTGGTCACACTTGGTCACACTTGGTCACACGTGGTCACACTTGGTCACACTTGGTCATATGTGGTCACACTTGGTCACACGTGGTCACACAAGTGGTTACACGTAATCATAGTAATTAGTGTCACTCTACGACGGTATTGAGCTAGACTACGGGGGTCGGCACCAACTACTAGGAGTGATCGTAGCTTTGCTTAGTTCCTTAGTGCTTGCACATTCACAGGAGAAATCGGCAAAAGTTTCCACTAGCAAAGTTGGAATTACAGAATGATAGAACAAGCAATGATAGAATTGACTACATCAGGCACCTAGCAACTCTGGAGCTAGCCCATTCGACTGCCAGCACTGCATGGTCGACCGCCTGCCAGCGTTGCGTAGAGGAGCCGCGCCAGCACTGCAGAAAGGCGACCTGCCAACACTGCAGGTCGACGGCGTGCCAACGTTGTAGCAGAACGACTATCCAGCGTTGCCCCGTAGAAGACAGCAGTGCGCACGTGTCGGAGTGAAAGGCCCCGCCCTCGCTTGGGCGCAGGCATTCTCTGCGACGACGTGGTGAATTCGACGAAGTGATCGTCGCATTGGATCAGCCCGTCCTCTGAAACCGCGGGTGGTTTTCGAGGAAGGTTGTCCTCTGATTCACCAGCCCGTCAACGAGCTCTGGTCGACGGGGTGCTGTTCGACGAGCTCGTCTTCTGATCTGCTTCTGGGTCGCGCGATCTCTGACGGACGGGGTGCTGTCCGAGGAGCCGCGTTCTCTGATCGAAGGGCGCTGTTCGGCGAGCGTCAGCTCGGCGAACTGGTCGGCCGAATTCGCGCGACTGCGAAACTCTGTGAGGGCATGCGAAATTTGCTCAGGTGGCTCTTAGCGAAATTCGACCTCCGAAATGGCATCACGTGCTCGACGGCGGACATCTGACGAAACCGTCGGAGCGTTTTCTACCTGGCACCTGCGCAATGTCTCTGACGGTGTAACCGTCTACCTGCACCTACTCGGCAGGTGCACACCTGCGCAGATATTCACCTGCGAATGCAGCGC